AAGTACGGCATCTACACCAGGGTCTCCAAGTACGTCAAGTGGATCAAGCAAACCACGAGGCTCCCCTGAGCGCTGGAGGATGGACTGGGCGCACCGAGAGGGACCGCAGCAGCCCCGGGGCTGGGAGGGATCATTGCGTTTCAATAAACGTTCCTAGATGAAATCACTTTTGCTCTTGGAAGGCAGAAGTGGAGAGAATGCAATGGAAATGTGGTAATAAGGAAATAAAAAGGCCTCTAATGACCCACGGCTGCATTTTTGAATGCACTGGTGCTGCTGTGCTGGTGTAAGTCCCCAAATCCTGAATGCAGGGGTTGGTGGATCAGCAGGGGAATGGCTCACACGTGTCCCGGGCCAGTGTGCCACCAGCACTGCCCACAGCTGGCACACAGCAGTGTGGGCAAGGGAAGCCCAGCAGGCACTGGTGCCCCAGCAGCACCCCAGGAGTCCAGGAGGGAGGTGAACATACACAGCAGTGCACCCACAGTGCTCCCAAACAGATGTTGTCACGTGCAGGGGATGCTGGGGACATCCTGAGCTGTGCTGGGATGGAGGCAGGGGACACTGGGGACACCCTGACCCTGCTGGGATGGGTGCAGGGGAGCTGGGGACACCCTGAGCTGTGCTGGGATGGAGGCAGGGGACACTGGGACACCCTGAGCTGTGCTGGGATGGAGGCAGGGGACACTGGGACACCCTGACCCTGCTGGGATGGAGGCAGGGGACACTGGGGACACCCTGACCCTGCTGGGATGGATTCAGGGGACACTGGGACACCCTGAGCTGTGCTGGGATGGAGGCAGGGGACACTGGGACACCCTGACCCTGCTGGGATGGAGGCAGGGGACACTGGGGACACCCTGAGCTGTGCTGGGATGGAGGCAGGGGACACTGGGGACACCCTGAGCTGTGCTGGATGCAGGGCACACTGGGGACACCCTGAACCAGGGCAGGGTGTCAGCAGCTGCTAATTCAGCCTTCAGTATGAGTGCTAAGCTGCCTCTGCCACTTTCACTGCCACTGCATCCAGCAAGAAACTAAGTGGATCATCTGCTACTGCTTACCTTAGAATCAAAATGCATGTAAGAAGGTTGTAAGATGTTCCAAGGAATTTAAATAAAACCAACACTGTGAGCACTTTTTTTCCCCCTAGAATTATAGCAGATGTGTATTTGAACAGAATTGCACATTCTCAGATGGATTTATTTAACAAGTTTTTAATCTTTAAATATAGATTTAACACATTTTTTACAGGTACATATACAATATAGTTCATTTCAACTTGCAGTCAGAGAAAATTCTCTACTGTAATTTATACATATACATGGAGAGCCTAGTTCAACAGCATACTCAGGGGAACATACCATGTGTGCAAAGTTTCAAACGTTAAAAACCTCAGACTGTACATTCAGATCTGCAGAACTCATCACCCTCATAAATTAATAAAAGCTTAGATTTAAAACTATGGAAGACAAAAAAGATTAAAATCATTCAATATGCAATGTGTGCTATGTTTCAGACAAGTATTTACAGTTGTACCTCAAAAAGTGTGTTGTTACCACAAGAATTGTTAGCACTATAAAGAGCCCCAACTGAAGACTTTCCCACTCATTAGTGCATTGTGATGGATTTGAAAGGAGAGGAAAAGAGCCCCCAGTGGTTTGACAGCTCTGCACTGACTCCAGAGAGGGACACTGGGGCCTTGGAGCTGCTCAGCTCGGCTGGTCCTGGCTCTGGGGGTGCACAGGGCTCAGCCCAGTCCTGCAGAAACAGCCCTGGCAGCCCCAGCCAGCAGCTCCTCCACACAAAAACGGGCACAGAACCACCCCAGCATGTTCTACCTGACCTCGGGGCTGTGCCTGAGGGCTGGCTCACTAATAAAGGTCAGGTCATAAATGTTTAGTCCCTGGTATAAACATTTCATTTGGCTGGGGCAGAGCAAACTCACCACTGCATGCACACCACTAACCCTGCTCTCCACGCACTCAGGAGCTCTTTGCACACATCTGCTTAAAAGTTCAAACCACCTGCACCTACCTATGTTCTACAAAAGCAAAACTAGACAAAGAAACACAAAATTCAACTATGAGTCTTCAACATTCTTTTTCCCTTCTCAAAAATTCAATAGGTACGTTATTGTTAAAGATGCTGAAAAAGTCTTATCACAAGAACATCCTTAGTGCAAACATGGACATTTAGCTTGGATTTATGGCACGTGTTCCAAAAGTACATACATGAATGTAAACTTCAACACTTGCTAGATACAGGTTTCAGCCCTGGGATGCTTTGGGACCCTAAGTGATTGGTGACAACCCTGAGGTGTCAGTTTGACCTGATGCAGACCTCACTGCAATCAGGGAGGCTGACTGCAAGGGGCTGGAGTCAGACCCTAAGTGCAAAAAGAGGAACTTTAGTGTTATTGCTTCCTCACGTGGGAGTCAGCCAGATGATGCTCTTACAGAACATTACATTCACACAGCTGAAGCAGATAGTTAAGAAAAATCCACCCATAAAATCAATTAAGCAGGACATACAGCTTCTTGGTTTGGTTTTTTTTTTTCTTTTTGGTTTACCAAAACTCAACTCTTGTTTGCAACTTCAACAGTTGTCAGCTAATAAGTAGGCAAAACCTACTTCAACCTGTAGAGGAAATTTCAAGCATCTAAACGAAGTGTCAGGAAACTGTAGTGTACTTCTCTGATGAAACATGATGTATGTCATGGAAAAACAGCAGGAAAAATGAACAAAATACCATAACTTCCACAGGAGAAAAAAAACAAAGAGCGGAGAATGGCTTCCTTTATGGGCATGAGAAGCTGCTTAGGACCCCGGTCCCACTCAGTGCAGATGAGGCTGTGGAGGTCTGTGAATGTGATGAATAGTACAGGACAGCTCCAACTACTGTGCTAATTCTCTGTAACACTTAGTTGAAAGCTTCCAGAGCATCGAAAATAGGATGCTACTAGTTCACCCTTAACTCAAGGGGAACTGAACTTTCTCGTGTTACACAGGGCAGCATCTATAAAGTAATGGAGAATGATGTTAATATCAAAGCATCTCATTCCAAGAAATACATTGTTCCCTGTAATCATGTAACATTTGTGTAACAGAAAAAAAATAAAAGCACTCCTGCATTTCTCCCTAAAAGCTGAACTCCCACTGGCTTCAGTGAGAGCCCTGACTAAGGCAGGACCACAGGGCTTGACTCATTCCATCATCTATCCCTTCATTATCCCAGCAAGGCCAGCTGATGTCTGCTCTAGGCTCCTTACTTTGTCAGGCTGGAGATGGTTTCCTGGCATTACTGAACAGCTGAGCTGGCACTGCAGGGACAGGAGAGACCCTCCTTGTGCTCCAAAGGCCAAAAAGAAACCAGCATTGCCTCTAGGGGACCCTGCACGGACACAGAAGCCTGTGGCTGCAGCCTTCAGGGCGTGAGGGGCAGTGCAGAGAGCTGTGCTGCAGCTGCCAGCTGAGGGTGGCACCGCAACCAGGACGTGGGCACAGCTGGCACCTTTCAGCCAACATGCCACAGCAGCCTGCCAGAGCTCGAGCCACAGCATCAACACCCTGGCCAGGCACATCCAGAGGGGCCAGGGGGCACAGGACAATCCCAGTGCCCTGCCCAGGGGGCACAGGAGAATCCCAGTGATTGTCCCAAGGGGCACAGGACAATCCCAGTGATTGTCCCAAGGAGTACAGGACAATCCCAGTGCCCTGCCCAGGGGGCACAGGACAGTCCCAGTGATTGTCCCAAGGGACACAGGAGAATCCCAGTGCCCTGCCCAGGGGGAGTACAGGACAATCCCAGTGCCCTGCCCAGGGAGCACAGGACAATCCCAGTGCCCTGCCCAGGGGGGACAGGACAATCCCAGTGCCCTGCCCAGGGGGGACAGGACAATCCCAGTGCCCTGCCCAGGGGGGACAGGACAATCCCAGTGCCCTGCCCAGGGGGGACAGGACAATCCCAGTGCCCTGCCCAGGGGGGACAGGACAATCCCAGTGCCCTGCCCAGGGGGGACAGGACAATCCCAGTGCCCTGCCCAGGGGGGACAGGACAATCCCAGTGCCCTGCCCAGGGGGGACAGGACAATCCCAGTGCCCTGCCCAGGGGACACAGGACATGCAAGCTCAGTCCTTCAGGCACTGCCAGCGGGGGGAAACCTCTGCTCAGCTTCATGGCATGGAGAGCAGGCACAGGGGGTCCCCCAAGGCTTGGAGGAGAGGATTTGGCAAGCAGGATGTTAAATAAACTAGGAGAGGGTCTGGCACGTAGAACAGGAGCCTGTGCCCACCTTAAATCACCAGAATGGCTTGGGCAGGAACAGTGTTCAGAAGGAATCTGGTTCCCAGCCCTGCCCTGGGTGCTGCAGGGCAGCTGAGATCTGAGATCCCCTCTCTGCACTGGCACAGAGCTGCCAGTGCTGCTCAGTGTGATCCTGCCACGCTGGCCACCCAGGGACATGCAGAAATGTTTTGTCTCCTGCTCCAGTGCAAAGGGGAGCTGGGATTGCAATGCTGGAGCCCCAGCCTTCCCTGAAATGAAGAGATAACCTTCATCTCTGTGTAAATTCATGGACAAGCCAAGCCAGTTAACCAGACAGTGCCTGACCACCTGCAAGGCAGCTGAAACTACCAACACACGGGTGAGCCTCAGCAGTAGTTACATTCTCAGTATTGCTCTTTCTGAGCACGGTTCTCTCCAAATATTTTTCATTTTGAGCTCTGCGTGTTACCACCTGCAATACAAAACTGCTCCTTCATCATGCACATTAAACAAATCCAGCATGGGTTTGCACAGCAGAGAGAATAAATCTGTCTGGAAGAAAGCAGCAAGGACTAATCTCAGAACTTACAGCTAGAGGCACACCAGGAGGAAAATTCATTTTCAAAATGATCTCCCAGCCAGCCACCTTCCTCCCAGAGAACCTCATGGCTCATATCCAGGCCAAGATTTACAAGAGGACCGTGGATTTGCAAAGCTGGAATGGCTGGGAAGGAAAGCATTCACCAAATACCCCTCTGCTAACTTAAAATGGACAGCAAAGAGCTCCCTGTGACTTCATTGTGATCTGCATTGGCTCAACACTGGAATAAGTAGCAGGAGGGGAGAGGAACAGCTTGTAGGCATGCAGGTATCAGCCATCCTGTGGGGCCACAGGACAAATGTAAGGAGAAAAGTGAAGGTAAGGAAACCATTTATTCTATTCAGCTAAAGGCTTCACCCTGAAAAAAATCCCAAACCCCAGATTTGTATGAATTCTGCTGTGAAATTCTGTGACTGGGCACAGTTTTAACTGGGGAGCTGAGCAGTAAGACAGGCACTGCCCCCACAAGTGCCAGACCTGCCTCTCCCCCAGCACTGAAGCGACCCCAAAACTCTCCAAGCTGCCGGGGACCCCACAAGGTCAAGCTCACACTGCCAACATGCAAGCCAGCATCTCAGCACGAGCAGCTCACACTCCCGAGGGCTCTGGGGCTCCCTCTGCCCCTGCCTGGCTCCAGAGCTGGCTGCCCAAGTCTCCCTCTGCTATCCTGGAGCAAGAGCTCCATCTTCCGAGGCAGCAGCCAGGAGCCAGCCCGGCCCTCTGCAAGGAGCCAGAGTCACCGGCAGGGAAAAGGGACCAGCCCCGGGGGAAAGGCAATGCTGAGCGCAGAATACTGCAGGAAAATCAATCTAGAGTGCAAGCTGCTTATGGCTGTAAGGACACACTGCTGAAAAGCTCCAGGAATAGCTCTAGGAAGCAGCAAGAGAACATCCTACGCCATCCCCAGTATTTCCTGGGGTGTGTGTAAGGTAGGATCGTGCCTTGGGACTGCAGCACCATCAGAAACAGCAAAGAGAACGGTTACCTTGGCAGGGAAAACAGAGCCCCAGTGCTCTCAGACCCTGGGACACGGCTCTGGAGTCCCTGGGCAGTGTGTGGCACTCACAGGAGGCATTTGCTGTGGTTCCACCCCGTGCAATTCCCCTCAGTTTGTACTCAGCAGCTTTTAAACCAGTCCAGAGCTGACAGTCTCTAGGTTTTTGGGGATGTGACCACTGACAATGCAAACCAGGGTTCAGAGTTTCCCAGCACCTTTTTTTGAGATGCATTCACAGCTGGAAAACCCTTCTGCATAGGACCTGGTGAGAAGGGATAGCTACACATGGAGAGAAGATCAAGGGAGCCATAAAACATCTTGAAAACAGGGTGCCAGTAAACTCTGAACACTGGTAGCAAGCTACCCCTTACAGAAAATCAGCAAACCTTCAGCCTCTGAGATCTGAGTGTCCTGCAACAAAGGGGATAAAAAAACCTTCCTGTATAGGAGGATTTCACTGAAATACCAAAAAACCATCAAGAGCTGACTGGAATTCTAAGCCTTTCAGATGGCTTCCTTCACCTCCATCAAAAAAATAGATTCTGACAGAAAGAAGTATTTAAGGAGAAATCTCCTTGCAAAACTTGCTTCATACAGTTATAGCTAGCAATTTTATTTATTTATTTCTTAATGGACTAAGTCTGTGTGGGCTTCCTGAGCTGTTCCATCTCCAGCCCTGCTCTCCCACTTGCAGAGGACAGCGTGGTGATGAGGCAACACATGGAGCAGTGACACTGTGGACATGGCAAGGGCAGCAGGCTGCTCTTAAGGCATTTTCTTGTGTCATCTCTTATGCTTCCCTGTCTATTTCTATGTACAGTTACAGCTAGAAAATGAGAACTCTGGGTTTGGAGACTCCGAGCCTTTGGCTGAAACCTGGCAACCTGTTTGTAATAAACTTCATCTAAGGATGGATTAACCAGCAGGCAGCAGTGAGGGCAGGAGTGAGGCAGCAGGGAGGAAGTATTGCCTTTGGAGTGCTGGGGTCAGGCCACGATGTCTTTGCAGCAGGAGGAGTTTGCTTAGGTACCTGCTGCTCACACGGGGAGTGAGCTACAGCAGGGAGGAGGCAAAAGTCCTGGGAATGCCTGGTCAGACTCCATCTCTTCTCCCCGGTCTTCTACCCAGTGCTCGTGCAATGAAATCTACGTTTTTAAATGCTTGGTTTTAATTTACTAGTGCCTAAAGTCTCAGAAACATCTTAACGTGTTAAACAAAGAAAAAAAGCTTAATTCACTACTTTTGCAGGCTTTTTGGAATAGCTGCTTGCTTTCCTATTTTCCAGCAGAGGCATAAGCAGCCAGATTTAGTACATCAAGTGTAAAGCAAATGGCTTAAAAGACCTGATTTGAGATATGAAATATTTCTGCTAGGCGTGCTATCAAATACCTGCAACTTTGGCATTCCGAAACCTGCAGTCACCGACTACAATCTGCAGACTGTGCACAGGAATCCAGCCTTCTTTTCTTCTGTTTAGGTTTTTCACCAACCTTTGAATGACAACAGCGTTAGGAACAGAAGCCAGCCACCCCAGGGCACTTTGGTGGGGGCAAGCAGCAGTTTGCTCCAGCCAGGGAAGCATTTGAACAGGACCTGGCTGTGTGTTTAAAGTGTTCTTCCCACCTAAATTCAGGAATCTAATTAAAAAGCCTACACCTCTGTAGGCAATGCAGAAGAAAGGATTCCCTCTCAAGTCATCCTGCCCGAGACCTCCAGAAATGCCAGCTCAGGAAAACTGCCTACTGAAGGAGTTGAGGATAATTATTTTTCTCACTCCTCTGCCATTTAGACTGGTAGGATGATTTTATTCAGGGTACTGTAAGTAAATTCAAGCCAAGATTTAGGCAGCTGGAAATACTCATGCTCAGAAGTGACAACCCTCTGTCTCATCATGCAGTGCAGTTTTGCTAACAAAAGCTTGGTGTGAGAAATCTCTGACTGGCACTGGCTGAAGCCCCCAGGAGTGGTGAACTTTCAGCAAACCTGAGATGCCTTGCATCTGCTTTTGCTAACAGCAAACTGAAGTTTTCAAAATGCAGTGGGACTAGATGAACCTTGCAGATCCCTTGCAATTGAAATTTTCCATTTTATCCTGTTCTCATTTCCTCTTGCATCTGCTTTTGCTAACAGCAAACTGAAGTTTTCAAAATGCAGTGGGACTAGATGATCGTTGCAGATCCCTTGCAATAATATTCCATTTTATCCTGTTCTGATTTCCCTTGAAAGGTCCTGCAGCTGTCAGCCAGGAATCCTGCATTGACATCTGTGCATTTACAGGCTGGTGCCTGCCCCGGTGTGGCCCAGGTTCCTGCCAACATCACCCTTCCCACACCCCAAACAAGGCTGTGGCACACTGGGCTCCCTCTGCTGAGACCCTGGGCTGGCTGAGAGCTGCTCAGAACCCTCCAGAAAGGGAAGAGCCAAAACCTCAGCCAAAGTGCTGAGTCTCTGGAGGGGCATGCTGCCCCCAGACAAGGACACCAGGGGTGTTCCCAGGGGATGCTCCAGCCCCAGGAGAGAGGCAGCTGTGAGGTGTTCCCTTGTGAGCCTTGACAGCTTTACACACAACAGAAAGAGTGTGGAGCCATCCCCCAGGGTAGGGAACATCCTGCAGCTGTCTGAGGGAGGAAAACACCTTGCAGTTACTCACTGTGGCTGTTAAATTCCCAGGGGAACAAAGCCTGGAGCTGAGCTGGGATGGACAGAGGGAAGCACCATCGGAAGTGGGGACAGCATGGCAAGAGGGGCTGTGAAGGTGCTGGGAACACCCAGCTCAGGCAGAGACCCATGGCCAGGGAAGTCCTGACTCGTTTCCCCAGGCTGTGCCAGTGTGGATGGCATCTGGTCTTGGCAAGAGAATGAATTCTGCAGCTTTCTGGAATGGTCTAAAGCTCAGCCAGGAGCTGCAATGAGTGTGTCACCAGGCAAGTGACCTTTCAAGGGACCGCCCTGCAGGCTCTCAGAGATAAGGCAAGGTAATCCCAAAATACCTACCACTGTCCCTCACCATCTTCATGCAAGAGCTGGATTTCATCCCCGTTTTTCACCAGCAGATCCTCTGATCCCCTCCTCTTGCAGTCTGCAAGGGCTTTGTATTTTCCTGGAGACTGTGGCAGAGAGAAAAACTTGCATTATTTAGCTGCCTTTTGTATCGTGCAGCTGTGGTTTGTGACTGCTGCCCGAATGTGGCACAGCCCTACCAGCTACCTGAGTTAGAACTATTTCAACAAGCTGTGCCTCAGACACCCTCTCGTTCCCCAGAGCGAGGTACGGAAATTCAGAGGCTGGGTGGGAGCCCCGGGGTGCCACGGCCACCTACCAGCTGGCTGCCATCCTCCTCCTCGGTGTCCGAGCAGTTGGAGAGGCACTGCTGCCCTGCCCACTCCTCCAGCCCCTCGCAGATCTCCAGGGACTGCGACATTCCCGGCCAGCCTGCGGGACAGCGCGGGGCTCAGGCGGGGCCAGCAGCCCCCGAGAGCCCCCAGGGGAGGGAAGGGGCCCTACTTCTGTGGGGTTTGCTCTGGGGGGACACCGGCCCGCTGTCCAGCAGCACCGGGCTGCTGCGCTCCGAGTCGTTCTCTTCCGAGCTGATGGAGGCTCTCTGCTGCTTCCTGAGGGGTGCAAAACAACAACAGAGGCAGTCTCAGCTTTCCTTCACCACCCAGGTTCTGTCAAACAGGGCCAGCAGCAATACTGGTGCTTGTGGGGAGATGAAGGACTTAGTGCCCGGTCCTCAATCTTTTTGTAAGGGAAGGGAAGCTGCTGCAGTGGCTGCCCTGAATCAGAGCCCTGTCTTTGCCCTGCTCCATCTGCAGGGGGGCTGCAGCTCAGGCTGAGCTGCCAGCCCCAAGGGTGTCCCTGCAGTCCCCAGGGGTGAGCAGCAGCACAGCCCTGCTGTCCCCTGCCCAGACACAGGGACAGGGCCAGCACAGAGCCAGCAGCAGCACGGGGTGCCCCCTGATGGGAGGGCACTTACTGTATTTGTGGGGTGCCCTCGGGGCAGGAAGGAATGATGAATCTGACTCCAGACTCAGAAGGCTAATTTATTATTTTATGATCTATATTATATTAAAGAATACTAAACTATACTGTACTAAAGAATACAGAAAGGATACTTAGAGAAGGTTAAAAAGATACTAATAAAAACTTGTGACTCTCTCCAGAGCCCTCCAGAGTCAAAACAATTCACATGAAACCAATGAAACAATCACCTGTTGGTAAAAAATCTCCAACCCCCATTCCAAAGCAGCAAAACACAGGAGAAGCAAATGAGATAATATTGTTTTCCTTTTTCTCAGAGGCTTCTCAGCTTCCCAGGAGAAAAATCCCGGGTGAAGGGGTTTTTTTTCAGGAAATGTGACTGTGGCAGGCACCCAGCCCAGCCAGGCTGGCACTCACCTGTCCCCCAGCTGGGAGGAGAGCGGGAGCTGCTCCGAGCACGAGCCAGGCTGCTGCTTCTCCCCTGCTGCAGGGCAAACACAGCTTAACATCCAGTTCTGCACCAGCAACCGTCACACTTGAAGCATTACTTGAAAAATCAGACCTTTTGCACAACCCTACTGGCTTCTGTTCAGAGAAAAGCAGACCCATGGGCTCTTGCAAAGCACAGAGTTAATTATGATTAAGGTGGCATGTTAGCACAAATCCAGCACTGAGCATGCTCCTGAGGACCATGAGATGCTTCAAATTAGGCATCTGGTTTGGATCTTGTTGAATTAAACCTATGATAACAAATGTGAAATAATGCCCAAGGTAACAACAACAAAAAAATGTACTTGTGTGATTCATTTTCACATCAGCACCCAGGTTTTACTGCTCCAAGGTACGTTATTTCCCTGCAATGTAAGGCCTCACTCCAGCATTTTGCTACCAGGCTTCTAAAAATTGATTCTCCAGTAAGAATTTGTGGACTTGAACATCAGCAATGAGCCAATAGGAAAGCTTCTGCTGCAGAGTGAAAGCCACAGAGAAATTGATCCAATGTACCTTTTATAAGCTCTTGCTGCTTGAACAAAATTTTTCTTATTTCATTCAACCACGCCATCTTCAGATCTACTGTTTGGGCCTGGAAGAAGAGAAAATTGTCTGAATTTTGAATTAAGAGTCATCCATTATAATGTAGGAATAAAATCTTCCTTTTCTGTGCTGTAATTATCTGCAATCCCCTTTATTCCCCAAAGCTACTACTAAATTTTGAACACTCTTGATCTTTTGAAATTGGTGATTCCCACTACATCCAGACAAGGCACAGTGGCACCTGCAGAGCTATCAGTACCAGCATGAAGATCAAGGAGACATTTTCTTCCCACATCTCTGAGGCTGAGCAGATACCCAGAGCCTGAGGGCACAAACCTGCACCACGTAGACCTCCTCTCTCCCACTGTACCAGATCTCAAATTTCCGATGGTCTCCCTTCACATTCTCAGTTATCCCCACTGCGTTCATCTGCAAATCCAAACAAACAAACAATTAAACACGGTCCAAGGCTCCCTCTTCCCCAGGAACGCAGGCTGTGACAGCAACTTAGAGCTGTTTGCACTGAATTTAACATGTTTCATCAATTTCAATTTACGCAGCAACTCAAAGTCATTATCTGTCTCGTTCCTCCTGGCTTTCCATCAGCTGCATTTTGGATAAGCTTTCCAAAACAAATCAATGGACCTGTGGGAACTTTTCATTTGGGAACCAGTGGATCCAACTGAAGCATCACCTCAGCTTTCAGCACAGAATTCCCCAGATTTGGCATATTTAGATTTATAAATACGTGACGCATTATTTATCCACACAGATTATTTCTTTCCAAAAGCAGGGTAATTTTTGGGATGCCCCAAGCCTGGCTTCCAGGACGGGCTTGCAGCTGCATCCTGCTTTACTCATTATCCCCAGCCCCCTCTGATAGCTGGGATGAAGCACCCAAGGCCCAAATCCTTCAGGACCCACCTGAGCCAAGCTCAAACCACGGCTAGAGACACAAAACTCTTCAGCAACCTCTGACCTCCCTCCTGAGCTGAAAACTGCTGTAATACCTGAAACCACATGAACCATCCCCTCCCCTGAAGCAGGGTGTGCTGGCAATTATTCACTGATGAAAGGATGGCCAAGAATAGCTCAAGTGTCCCACGTGCATGTTTTGGAGCAGATGTAATAACAGAGGTATCATCTATCATAAATTATTCACGCAGACTGGATGAGACAAATCCACTGTAAACACAAACAAAGCCTTAGAAATAACATCTGTTCAGCACTGCTGATCCTCCCTGACAACATGTGGTGCCTTGGTCTGAAGGACTTGGATGATTTCCAGCAGAGGTGCCACGGACAATGTTCTGTCCCAATTCATGTGTTGGTGCCCCTTTCCAGTGACAGGAACACCCCAGGGAGCAGGAACCAGGCTGCTCCTGACATCACAGAAACATTTAGGCTGCACAAGACCCCTGAGGCCATCGAGTCCACTAACCCAGCAGTGCCAAGGCCACCACGACCCCTGTCCCCAAGTGCCACATCCACAGGGCTTTAAATCCCTGCAGGGATGGGGACCCCCCTCTGCCCGGGGCTGTGCCAGTCCTGCCCACTCCTCATATCCAAGCTGAACACCCTGGCACAGCTTGAGGTCTTTTCCCCTCTAGAAAGCTGGATGAGGCTCCATTTTGATTTTATAAAAACTTAAAATTTATGAAAGCTGTTGGAAGGGCAGCCTGGAGAGCACCTCATCCAGACACTGCAATTCCCAGTTCTGTGCACCTTGTTTACCCTGGCAATTTATAGAGGCTCCTACAAAACTGCCCAGGCATCAAGACGTGAGAAATTTTGGATGATCTCCTATGATGATGCAAAGAACAAGTGCCAGAAAGAGACAGATTTAAGGTCTGTTCATCCAGGTTAGAGGATTTTAAATTCCATTTCCTCCCCCTGCCCAGGATTTACTGCAGTGCAGACCAAGCTGGGCCAGTGCAAGCTCTGGGCTGGTGCTCATCTGCAGATTGACCTGGCACTGCAGGAACCTGCACCCCTGGCTCACTGAGCCCAGCTGAAGAGCTGCTGGCCTCTGCTCACTTCACACAGGATGCAGGATTATCCTCAGGGTTTCCCTGGTTTGCTCTGTGGCTGATCTGTTACACAGCATCTACCCAACAGCTCACTTCAACCCCGAATCCCCAAAAAACATTGCTGCAAAGAAAAATCATTTCCTGGTGCTTAGGGACAAGGTTTAGTGGTGGATTTGGCAGTGCTGTTTTAGCAGCTGGACTCGATGAACTTAGAGGTCTTTTCCAACATCATTGTCTGTGAAATCAAATCAATGTCAAGCTCCAGAAACAGGATTTTGCCCTCAGTACAGCAATTCTCAAAACACATGTGTGCAGGTGTGATCCTGCCACCTCCATGGATCCTCTAACTCCAAGCTCTGCGTGTCAGCACAAACAAGGAGCTGTGGACAGTCCTGTGCAGGCACAGGGAAGCTGTGGACAGTCCTCTGCAGGCACAGGGAAGCTGTGGACAGTCCTCTGGGGGCACAGGGAAGCTGTGGACAGTCCTCTGGAGACACAGGGAAGCTGTGGACAGTCCTCTGGAGGCACAGGGAAGCTGTGGACAGTCCTGTGCAGGCAGAGGAGAGCTGTGGACAGTCCTCTGGGGGCACAGGGAAGCTGTGGACAGCTGCCTGGGCTCCTGAGTGCAGCATCCTCTCCTCTGAGCTGCATTTCCCCTGCCACCTCTTCAGTCCTCCCAAAAGCATGAGTGCTAAAAGGAGCCCTGCAGGGGAAACAAGCTCTCCAGAAAGAAAATGGTGCTGTGTGGGGAAAACACTGGGTACCAAAGCACACGGCCTGAGACTTGCTCTGTGCCATCACCTGTGACGTGCCCCAGGGCTGCTCACTGCTCCTGGCCAGACCCCTGGCACCAGGGAGCTGCAGCAGGACCTGCTGTGCCCCCAGCTCCTCAGCCTTCTCCAGTCTCACACAGACCCCTGTGGGTTCTCACTTCTCAACAAAAACAAGGCAGAGCCCTGAGAAAAAACAGTTTTGCTGTTAGAGCTGCTCATCACACACAGCGTGCCAGGAGGTCTCTCTCAGAGCAGCACTTTGGGATTTTATTGATACTAGTTAGCATTTATAGCTGTTTACACCCTTGTCATCTGATAATTGTAATTCCAGCTGCAGCTGGAGCCTGCCACAGGAGAGGGGAACGGGGAGGAAGAAGAGTTCACCCTGCATCCTCCTGCAGGGTGGAAAACAGGGCTCAGGAGCAGGCAGGCAGAGCTGCCCAGGGGCAGGAGGAGCCCCTCTCTCCCAGGTGGGCTGGGGAAGACCAAAAGTGCCTCCAAACCTGAGCATGGGCTGGGGCAGGGCCAGGCACACGAGGGCTGGGAGAAATGCTGGGGGGAGCTATTTAACACCCAGCTGGTTTGGGCCATCAGCAAGAGTTATTTTGGAATAAAGCAGTAATGTCTAAAATGACAGTATGAGAAATCATTTTCTGCTTTCTAAAGCAATGTGCTTCATACAGTCACAATTTCACAGCACTGAGACAGGATTCTCCCAAGGATAAAACACAAGCTGCTTCCTTTTGTCTCCTAAAGGTAAAGGAAATTTACCTGTACCCCTGGCACAGCACAGCCTGACCCCGAGGCCAGGGGTTCTCCCAGCTGCTGCCCCAGCCCTGGGCTCCTCAGACTCATCCAGCCACCAGCCCTCCATGGATGTGGCACGGCCCTCAGCAGCAGAAAACAAACCCCACCTCAGAGAAAAACCCCCCTGGCTCTGCAGAATCACTGCTCTGCACGTGGCTGTGTGAAACACCCTAAGGTTCAAAATAAACAAAATAAATGTAAATAAAATAAAATAAACAAAAATAAAGCCCCCTTACTTTCAGAAAGTGCTTAAAGCTGTAAGATGAGGTTTTGTCATATCCATCTCCGTGCTCCTCTCTCTTCTTGCAGAAGACCAAGGCTTTCTCATACAGAAACAGGTGCCTCTGCATGGGCTTGAACCTGGCCAGATCCTTCATTTTTGTGGGCCCTTTTCGGTGTCCTGCCCAAACACTGAAAGATCCCTGCATCAATACTTTCCCCAGTTCGCTCAGGTCACCCTGGGGAGAGCGTGACAAACAACAAAGAAGGACAAAGAGGTGAATTAAAATGAGAGAGGGCTCTCCAAACAATGACAGCACACGGGGCCAGCTCTGCTCCAAGGCACGTCCCTCTAGGAATAGCTCTTCCTGGAAGGACCAGAGGCTCTCTGGCAGGGATGACCTGGTGCCAGGGGGGCACAGGACTCGGGCAGGGCTGCAGCTGCTCTAGAAACTCAGGAAGAACTAGAAGGAACAGAAAACCATGCAGCTCCCGTGGAACAGCATGTCAAGGGCTCTGGCTACTTTAGTGGGGCAGGGAGGTGAGCTCTGAGCCTGAACTGAGGCATCAGAAGATGGAACTCTCCAGGAGGCCAGGCCTGGCAGCAGCAGCTTCCCTGGAAGCCTAGGAAATACCACCACTGCAGTGGGACAGGCTCAGCCTCAGCCTCAGAGAGCTGTTTGCTAAATGGGAAATGCCACAGAAACAGCCCAGAGTTATCAGAGCACAGAGGAGCACGCTGGAGAAATGCTCCAGAAAGCCACAAGGTGGCAAGGCTGGCACCGTGCAGCTCAGGATCCCAACCCGAGATCCGAGGGAAGATTGTCACCTCTGGGTCCCTGACCCAGCCCTGCACAGGCTCTGTCCTGGCAGCTCCCAGCTCTCACATCCTGCACACCAGGGCATCACCAGCCTTGTGCAAGGGCTGCCCACAGCTGCTCACATCATATCCTGTGATTGAAATCTGATGCATGGAGTCGTTGACTGACTTCAGCAAATCCAGCATTGCGACCAGAGCTTCCTGAAGTTCCTGAACTCCATCACAGCTCGTGCTGTACTTTAGCAGCTCCTGAAAATAGAAATAAGCACGTGTTTGCACTTGAACAAAGCAGATTTTTCCACCTTGCCCAAAGTTTCCAGTGCCCAGGAGTGACCTACACTGAGTTTCTTTATTCGTGTCCCTGGAAAAAGGCTCCCTCTGGAGCACAGTGAGTATGAGGTGTGGGACAGGCCAGTGAGGGATGGCCTGTTTTTGATATGCTTCCTCAAGGAGGGTGTCAGCACAGAGCAGCATCACATTCTCCTGACTCTTTGTGCTGTGTTTTGCTGCTTGCTAAGACATGGCAATAAGGCTGGGGTTTTTCATTAGTGCCAACATGCCCTCAAAGGAGCTTGCAGCAGATGACTGTCTTCAGACTGGCAGGCACAAGGAACAGAATTTACAAAATCCACAGCTTTCAGATAGCAATTAGAAGACAGAATTTTCCCACTGAGATAAAATTAGTTCCATTTCAGATCTCCTGTGCCCTACAGCTGCATGTATACTCATTCAGAGGCTGGGAGGAGGTTCAGAAGTCACCACCCAAGTGTTACTCCTGCCTTACAAAGGGAGAATAGCTGCACTGCCCTGCCTCAGGCGGGGACACAAAAATAAATGCACTAAAGATTACAGGTGCTACCAACACCTGAGGAGAAGAGATGCAACAATTTATATAATTTATCAGAGTCTCATGATCATCTCTAGCTCGGTTTTCTTACAAGTGCTCCTGTAATTCTGCATCTCTGAGCAGATTCAAATAGTCTTTCTCTCCTTAAGCATGGCCTGTCACAAGCACCTGTTCCTTTTTCAGGTATGTGAACATTCATCTTCACTGGAAGTCACTTCAGGAGAGGCCAAGATGGGCAATATGTCATCCAAAGCTTGGTGCTGATCTACAGGTAACCTCTAATTGAAAAACAAACCAAATCTAATCTATCTGCTGGTGGCCTTTGGAAGCAGAAGATGAAATACCTTCAGAAGTAACTGGTACTTTGTCAGGCGCTGCACTGGTTTGAGCAGATAGGAATCCAGCCCCAGTTTGTGCTCCAACTTCCTTTGGCATTCCTGGAACACAGAAGTCACACCAAGTAAGTTTTGCACCATTTGTCAGTAGATATTCCAACAGCACAGCCGTGGGGTTTGATGACTACAAAGGTTTCATGTCCAAGGGCTGAATGGTACCCACTACTAGAGAAATATTATAATAACATGCAAATTAACAGTGAGTGCATCTGTACTCCTGGGGTGTGAGAAACACCAACATCTCTGTTTGTGAGCATTCTGCAGACCATGCTGAACAAAACGCAGAGCTGTGGGCTCTGAGGAGGCTGTCAGGACAGGGGAGTGTGCCAGGGGGGCAAGCAGCAGCTCACCTGGAAGAAGGAGCTCTCGGAGCACTGCCTCCAGAGGGACTCGGAGCGGGGCTTGTTCTGGCAGTACTTCTCATACATCTGGAAATCCTCCCGCTGCAAGGCAAGCCAAGGGCCAGGTCACCCCCAGCCCTGCCAGGCAGCAGCTCAGGCCAGCAGCCAGATGTGTGCTTCCACCTCTGCTGCCAGCTTCCGTGTGTGCAAGTGGCAGCTGGCTGCAGCTGTGGCTGCTCTGCCACCTCTGCTGGCCACACAGCCACCCCTGCTCCTGAGGCCAGGAACCTCTCAGCCAGCCAAGAGGAGCTGCAGAGTGTGACAAGGCAGGGAAACCCCGGCCTTGGAGTGTGCTTTATAGGTGACAAGGATTCACCCACCCTGTCCAGGAAACAGCAGCCCACTCGCTCAGGTGCTCCCAGGCAGCTCTCCAGACTGTGCAGGAAGATTCTGCAAGAGATGGCACAAGGGACAGTGAGCAGGGTGAGGCTGGGCTGTTCAGCACTCCAGGGAGCAGCCTGTGAGAGGGGAAGAGAGCATTCCATACTTGTTGTGGAAGTCGTAGATCTCGGGCATGTTCCCAAAGAGAACGTCCTTCCTGTTCCTCAGCACGGGGGGCAGCAGGATCAGCATGGCAGGGTTATCCATCTCAGCTCTGTAGCCCTGCCAGGAGAAAAAGGGCCACTCTCAGCTGCCACCTCCTCACAGGCAGGTGAAAAGGGGGCATGAACAGACTTCCAACATGATCTCTCTGTTTCTAAGTGCAATATCCCTTTTATTCCCTGTTTTTGGCCTCTAAAGCCCTGTCTTCAGTCGCTGGGCACAGGGGGTTGTGGTCCAGGAGGGAAGGTGTGGGACAGCTCCCGTGGGGCTGGCAGCACTGCAGAGATGCTCCAATTCTCCAAAGGCAAATCAGCCTGGCTGCAGGAGAGGAGCCACAGGAGTGTGTGTGTGTGTGGGAGAACAGGGGGCACAGAGGGCAGGGGGCACAGAGGGGGGAGAACAGGGGGCACAGAGGGGCAGGGGGCAAAGAGGGCAGGGGTCACAGAGGGGCAGGGGGCGTGTGTGTGTGTGTGTGTGTGTGTGTGTGCAGCTCCACAGCCTCAGCAGAGCCCTGCAGACCAGAGACAGGAGATCAGATCAAACACCCACGGGCTCTGTGCTCCTGCTCAGGGCGTGCTGCTCTCCTCAGTGCTCCAGGAACTCGGGGCTCTGTGCCCCCACTGCCCCTGACATCACAGCCCCCCAAACTGGGGAGGAGCTGGAAGGGCCCACACTGAAACACAAAGTGCTGGGTGGAAGCAGGAACAGTGTACAGCTCCCCAAGGAACAGCCCATCAGGGCACCAGACATGGCAAACGTGCTCACTGCAGTGCAGGGCTCACAGCAGAGTGCACAGAGGCCCCAGGAATGGCAAAAGGCACAGCTCAGGCTGGCCCTGCTGCTCACCAAGGGCTGCACGGGACTGAGGCCCTTTAACATGGGCAGCACAAACGTGTTCAATATGTGCAGCACATCTCCTCTGGCCTTCCAGACTAATCTCTCACTCACTGTGCTTGGAATCAATATTCCCCATACTCAGCAGGCATTCTGTACTTGATTAAGGATGCAATAGATGATAAGTATCTGGAAAATTAGTCGTTTTATTTAAGGCCAGCAAGCAGGCTTCCCTCTTTAAAAGAAATACTATTTTCAGAAAACTGAAGTCTATCTGTCCATTTTTCTCTATCCAGACTCGATGTGCACAGCAATAAATCTGTGTACCTGCCAACTGCTTCATCACAGAGTGTGCTTTAGCAAAAACCCAACCAGTGCAGGGCAAGCACTGCAGCCACTGCCTGCAGAGGAACAGATTTACATCCTGCTTGCTCCTGGCTGGGAGAAATGCTGGGGGGAGCTATTTAACACCCAGCTTGTTTGGGCCATCAGCAAGAGTTATTTTGGAATAAAGCAGTAATGTCTAAAATGACAGTATGAGAAATCATTTTCTGCTTTCTAAAGCAATGTGCTTCATACAGTCACAATTTCACAGCACTGAGACAGGATTCTCCCAAGGATAAAACACAAGCTGCTTCCTTTTGTCTCCTAAAGGTAAAGGAAATTAGGGAACACTCAAGAGAAACAGCTTTTTGTGTATTTTACAGGCACTGCTAAGGCTAATTACCGTGCTTTTGTGTACAAACAGAAGGATTCTCCTTCACTGTGGATGAAAAGCTCATCCTGACACCAACTGTTCCTGCAGATGCCTCCAACAAAGGCACAAACCTGGGCATTTATGACTAGACTGGGATGTGACAGTCTGGTGGAAGCCTGCCCTGGCACATCTGGGCTGTCTGAGGGGCTGGCAGGTGCCCTTTGTGCAATCACCAGGGCACAGGAACGAGGACCTGCAGAAGTCACTCACCGTCAGGACAGTGAAGAGCTCCTCCACATACACTCTCTCTGTTTCTATAAGCTCATTTATGACATGGCTAAAATGGAAACACAACAGAAGTGTATTATTTAGTGTCTATGAAAAGCCCCACAGGTGGTCAGTGCAGCTCAAGGAGCCCAGAACGTTGTGTGACCTCATGAATAACCACGAGGTGAGAGCACAGGAGATGACACCTGGGTCAGGACACAGGCATGGGGCAAGGGCTGGCCAGAAACAAACACCCTTCTAGGGGGTGTGCAAGGGCTGAGTGCTTACTTACCCTTTCAGCACGTCCAGGCTGTCCTCACTGTCTGAAATGAAGTACTGCAAGGAATTCCTCTTCTCCTGGTAGTCGTGCATGACCTCGATCTGGAAGGAGATGGGATCTCTGGGCAGGCTGCAGAGCCTGCAGGGCAGCAGGAGCCCAGCCCTGGGCAGCCCTGGGCAAGGATGAAAGGTGCTTCCTTATGAAACCCTTGGGCTGTAAACCTCAGAAGGGAATAACATGTAATGGGTGGCCAAAAATCCCAGAAAGGACTCTGCTAGGTAAATCTGAAAATATGGTAACATAACTCATCAGTGAAGAGTTTGCACAGGGGAAATACCTGGGCATGGGGATAGTTCCTAATGCACACCTCTGCTGTGTAAGAAATAACTTCAGGGAACAGCACACAGGAAATAGGGACCTGGATATGGTAAAAGCAGTCAAGGCAGAGCTCAGGTGTTGGACTAATCCAACAAAATTTTTTTGCTTGAGCTTTTAAAAGGCAAAATAAAAAGAAAATAAAGAGGGCATCTCCAAATCCAAAGTACACTCAATCTTCAGAGGAGTTTCAGTTTTTCCCTCTATAAAACTAACTCAGATTCCATGAACCATTTTTACCTTGCGAGAACTTGGTGTTTTTCTTGAAGTTTTCTTCCCAGGGAGAGAGAGATCGAATGAAAATTTCAAACTGGAATTAAAATCTACACCTTGGATAGGAAAAAAGCAGAATTACATGATGTACATCTACAGTGAAGGGGATTCTTCAGAGACAGAAACTAATATGTCAGGAAGAAAAATGGAATACACTTTAAGAAAAAATAATTAGTTAGCTAGCACTAACAGCAAACTGACAAAATAAAGGGTATTTATCCCAAACAATACTGATTCCACACAGCACATCCCACGGTCATAAAGGCCATAAAGTAGAAATATTTAGAAAAAACAAGATGTTCACCAAGGGAACACAGTAATCAAAACCTAACAAAGTCTCTGAAGCCTGAGCATATGATAACAACAAAAACAATAAAAGCAAACAAACTACAAAAAAGAACACCCCCTGCTAGGACACTGTTTTAAAGTCCTTTTACTAACATAGGGCAAGATGCTCAGCTGTAATAAACTTTCTCCATCTTGCACAAATTTATTGGTATTGTAAATAATTACAAGCTGCAATTGAGCCACAGAGGAAAAGTGGAAGCTCAAAAATAAAGCACCAGTGCCTCCAGGGAGCTGTATGGCATCATTCAAACACTCTGTAAGAAACGTGGAGAGAGCCAGAGGAGGCACGGGGGGCTCTGGGGGCACACTGGTGTGCAGAGCCCCTCTGCAGAGCTGTCACAGCCTGCCCTGCAGGAGCCACACACACCCAAGGTGGGCACGGCTGGGGCCCCCCACACCTGGGAGCACCCAAAAGAGGTGAGGATTGCCAGTGGCCCTGCTCAGAGACTGCCCTGGGAGGCTTTGGAGCTGGATGGGACATGGGCACCAGCTTCTCTTGGCTTCTCTTGCTAGAGGGACTCTGCCACGGCCTGCAGTGCCACTTCTGCCCATCCCACTACACCTGAGGGCTCAGGGTGGGATAGATTTACTCTTCCCCACCCTCCCTAAAAACGGTTTAAACATTAGAACCACATGTCTCAGACAGGCTTCAAATCCAGGGCAAAGATAAAAGAGGAAGCATCTGTCCTCAGACAGAGACAGAAGGGGGGAATGGGGCACAGAAACATAAGGAAGAAAGGAACAGAGGACAAAATGATGTGCTCAGAGCTGGTTTGGCTTCAAGCCCCACCATAAAACCCATCCATGTCAAAGCAGAGCAGGCCTGCAGCAGTCTGATGTCTGCCATCAAACAGACTCTCTTAAAAAGCTCTCCTGCCATGATCTCCCCAAAGAGGAGCCTTTTGTCTCTGCCACACTTGATCACTGCCTTCAGGAGGATCAATGCAGCACACCTGTGCTCTGCAGGTGAGCGTGTGTCCCACAAAGGCATGGAAAAACTCCAGCTGGGTGATGGAGATCTCACAACATCCACAGAGCTGGCCCCCATTTACCCTACTCTTTAGGGCAATAATTTGTCTTTGACCCTTTCCTCTTTGTGGAAAGCTGGAAAAGCTTGCTAGGTAAAATGGCAATGCTCTAGTTTGGGACTCAGAGCTGTTACTGACTGAGGAAAGGGCTCAGAAGGTAATGTGCTTTGGAGAGGGTGGCATCAGCCTGGGAAAAGGAAATCTGGGATTTATTTGCTGCACTGGCCTGCATCTCGAGGAGTTTCATTTCCCTCACTGCATCCAGCATCATTCCCACCCCTCCACTTGGCTATTCCATTTCTCATTCCCTGAACTGAAGCTGCTTTGCTGCTGTATGACACCTGCTACAACTCACCATAACCAATATTTGTTAATTCATCATAAAAACCTTGTGTTAAAACACAAATGTTTAATTGCTTTAATGAAGTCAGATCACTGAATTTAATATTCTGACACAATTTAGCAAGTCCCTGGTTGAAAATACATGGATGCTACTTTGGAATCTTTTAAATCTGCCTGATACACTCAGGGCTGCCAAGGATGAAAGTTTAAATGTTATCATTTAAAGCTAACATGGTGCCACATCCCATTACCAAAACTAAGGCAGAACATTCAGTGACCTCAGTTCAATGAGAATTTGTAACTTTATGGGCTTTAATTATTCCACAATTGGGATTTAGAGAAGAGACCCTGAAGGAATCAAAAGGAGTTAAGCATCCAGCTCATTTCTGTTCATGAGATTTGAGCTCCTCATTCCTCCAAGCTCCTTTGCAAACATCAGTCTAACTTTATGTCAGTTCCAGCTCAAGACAGCCACAGAGAACAGGCAAGCTAATAAATGGATAAAGCTTGCCCTTTTCCCCCTGTACTATTAACTCACCAGCTTCCAGCCCAGCAGGATGCCAGTAACTGGAGGGGTGCACTGCTTACAGCTCTTTTTTCACTGAGTGGCAAGTGGAAATAAATAATAAACAACCAACTTCAGCCTTCACACAGGTGTGGGAGCACAAACACTGGGAAGTTAGTAAATCCTGATATATATATTTAACACTCTGCAATAACTATCTGCCAGCAAGTTTTAGCTTCTCAAAACCACCCCAAGCCTTACTGTTCCTGCCTCAAAGCTGGAAATCCAGAGTATTTTACCGTGCTTAGGAGAGAACAAGGGTGACTTGGCTCGGGGGGGGTTCTCTGGCCGAGGAGCCACGAGCTGCACGGGCCGCACGTGCTTGTCCAGCAGCCTCCTGAAGCACGACTGCCTGCTCTCAAACATGCCCCGCACGTTCTCCAGCTTCACCTGCACCGACTGGATGTGGCACTGCAGAGAGCCCAGGACAGCCACGTCACCTCCCTGAGCAGGGCACAGGGCTGCCAAGCTGACAGCACAGCCCCAGCCCCGCTCTCCTCCCGTGGGACCTCGCTTACCTTCAGCTCGGGCGTTAAGATCGACTCAAAATCGCAGAGTAGGGCTTGGGGATCATGGTTTAAGTAGGACGAAGAGCTTTCAAGAAATCTTTCTATGTCCTGGAGCGCTTTCTGAGCGCCTTCTTTAGACTGGCACTTGTCCATCTGCTGGTTGGCGAGCAGGTAGGCACCTTCATCACAGCACTGCAGAGCCTGGGGGCAGCACAGGCAGTGAGACCCCCAGCACCTCCACTGCCACAGGGTCCCATGAGAATATCGCTGCCGACCTGGATGCAGCGCTCCCAAAGAGCTCGGCACCTGCTGTGCCTTCATTAGGAAACACAAAGCCACGTTTCTTCTGCAAGGTGTCTGCAGTCCTCAACAGGCCCAGCCAAGCTGTGCCCAGCTAAAACCAGCGCTGTGCCTGGCTAAAACCAGCGCTGTGCCCGGCTAAAACCAGCGGTGTGCCTGGCTCAAACCAGCGCTGTGCCCCGCTCAAACCAGCAGTGCCCAGCTCAAACCACCAGTGTGCCTGGCTCAAACCAGCAGTGTGCCCAGCTCAAACCAGTGCTGTGCCTGGCTCAAACCAGTGCTGTGCCCACTCAAACCAGCAGTGTGCCCACTCAAACCAGCAGTGTGCCCAGCTCAAACCAGCAGTGTGCCCAGCTCAAACCAGCAGTGTGCCCGGCTCAAACCAGCAGTGTGCCCAGATAAAACCAGCAGTGTGCCCAGCTAAAACCAGTGGTGTGCCCAGCTCAAACCAGCAGTGTGCCCAGCTCAAACCAGTGCTGTGCCCAGCTCAAACCAGCAGTGTGCCCAGCTCAAACCAGCAGCGTGCCTGCCATGGAGCTAGTGCACAGGTGACCCCAGGATAAGCAGGTGTTTGCTTCTCCAGCTGGGAAAGCTGAAGTGGGCACTTTGGAGCTCACAGGGAGAGTGGGAGGCTCCTTGAGGCTCAGTGCAGACCTGAGCTGGGGCTCACTGGCACTCACACACTGAGCTGTGCACAGGGGTGACAGGATGCTCCAGCCAAGAGCAACAGAGAATTTCCAGGGCTGTGAACAGGACAGGAGACATGGAGAGCAGGACCATGCTGTGCTCCAGCTCAGCCCCAAGCTAGACCCCAGGCACCAACCAGGCCTGCAGGGAGCCCAGGAGAGGCCCCTGTCCTGCAGGACAGGCTGCCAAGGACTGTGTCCCACAGATCAGCACAAGGCTGAAGTGGCGCACACAGAGAGCAAAAAGGAACTCCCCAGTTCCCCAAAACAGGGAAATGGAACAGGTCAAAATTCACTGTTTCTCTTAATTGGCCTCAAGCACATTACAGCCGTGTGCCTTCTGGCCTAATTAGCGTGAATTTCCCTAAATGAATATTTGATGCTGATTAAGATATCAAAGAGCGTTGGAGCCACATGACTCCACTTCCATGCTAGCACACAGCAGCTGTGCCTACCTACCAATCTGTCACCTTATTTCACACTCAGCTATGTTCATTCTTAATCAATCACTCAGAAAAAAGGGCTGGAGTTTATGTGGGAGCATCACCTCTGGCACACTGGGCAGGAAAACCTCCCAAGTCAATTAATACACGGACGTAGCATGAAAGCACCACCAAGAGCAGCAGCTGAGCTTGGTGTTGTGTGGAGATGCCCACCTCTTTCTGCTGCCCTCACAGCACCAGCAGACACCTGTGTGCTGACTTCCCAGCCAAGGGAGGTGTGCCACTCCTCCAGGAACACCTCCCCGCCATTAACCCTGAAGAAAAGCTGCAAACTTCAGGTGCTTCCAGCGAAGCAGAGAGGCTCGGCCCATGGAGAAGCTAACCAGCCATCTCCTCAGAGCCCTGTGTCCCCGAGCTCTACCTGCTGAAGGCGGCTGTGGAGCTCCAAGGTCTTCTGCAGGCGCACCTGCTTCCTCTTGCCGTGCTCAGCCAGCAGGTCGCAGTGGTGCCGCAGCTCGTTGCACTGCTGGCAGATCAGGTTCAGGGCGTAGTGGTGGTTGGCTGCCAGCTGGTGCCCGTGCAGGATCACCACCTGAGCCTTGCCCATCAGCTCCTGCAGGCAGAGGGAGAGCTGCACACGCACAGGAATGGTGCCAACGTGCCCCCACGCAGCACGGTGCCCTCCCACCTCGGCAGAGCTCGGGCGCTCGTGGAGATGGCTGCCAGCAGGAGCAGCCAGCACGGGGGGCTTACACAGCATAAAACGGTACCCCCACCACCTGGGGAGATAAACCTTTCTATCCAGGCAGGGGATGAAGAAGAAAACAGCATTTCACCACAGCAGCAAGGCTGTGAGTGCCTGCTGGCAGTGCATCACTGCCCTTCCAGGAGCCACACCCTGACCAAACTGCAGCTGAGGCCAGCTCAGCCCCAGCAGGCCCCCAGGCACCAAAGGCAACTGGAGTCCTTGAGGTTTATCTTGATGCCAAGCACACAGGATCTTTTCTGCACACCTCGGTAGTGTAATGGTTCTGGTTTCTCCAGGGCTGGGAGGAACTGGGATGGCATTCCACCGGGATGGCTTTCCTGCTGCACCCTGCCTGCCTTTTTGATCCTCTTCCCTCTCTCCACAAACATTTTTTCCAAATGGCAGCAAGCCTCAGACCTTTCTCTAGAACTCTTCTCTTCCGTGCCCAGAGCCCTCAGGATTTCTCTGCTGACCCTGGCCCAGGTGCCCAGCACACTCCTTTGCAAAGGTCACATCCTTAGCTGGGCTCTGTGAACCATTTCACTCTTCTTTCCCCTGCATCTCTTACTCTTCACCCACATGTTATGTTCAAGTCACAGACATGTCAGCATACAACTTTTTTTGCAACTCCATGTGCCTGGTAACAAGTTTCTGCCTATTAGCATAGTTAAAGCACTTAAAATATAAATAATTCTTCTTCCAGCTCGTTAAATCCCACGCCTCCCCCACGTTCAGACATTTATCTGTTCCGTATTTTCACGGTGGCTCAGCAATTCATTTTAACTCTGATAATTAAATACCCTGTTTCTGGCTTTCAGAGTGATCACAGCCTTGCTGCTCAGAGCAGAGACATGAAATCAATCCTCTTGTGCAGCACTTACCAACAAATTACAGAACCAGGTGATTTCAGCAAACACCTCCCACCACCAACACAGAATGTGGCTCTTGTTTCACAAGTGCTGCTCCTGTGCAAGGTTATCTCACCTGAGCCATGCCATCGAAGTGCTCCAAGTCCTTGAGCCTCTGTTTCACCTGGGGGATGCTGTCCCCAGTATCAGGCAGCTCTGCCTGCTGACCCATTAAAAATTCAATGGCATTCTTGACCTGGACACAAAGAAGAAGACTGCTGCAAAAGGATACAAAGCACAGGCAGGAAAGCAGTCTGAGCCCAAAATTAATCACACTTGAGCTAAGATTGCTATATCCAATAATACAGCTAGTGTTCCAAGAACTAATTTCTAAATTCAAAGATGCTTCCATCAGCAAAATCCAGGCGACTGCAGGGCAGTGATACCTAAATTAGCTCTCAGGGAGGAAGCACAGCCGTCTCCCCAGGCTAGCCAGCCCTGCCACAGCCAAGGAACAGCAGCATAAATTAAACACTCTCAAAATAAAAAGCATAACAACTTCTCTCCAACAGATCTCCAGCTCTCCCTTCTGCCAGTGGAAGCACATGCAATCCTACCTCTTGAAAACTTTGCTCAAACTTCCAGAGCTGCAAATATTGCTCCATTTTTAACTGGTGCTTTTCCCAGAAGCCATCAAAAGCAGTCTCCATCTCTCGCAGCTGACCCAGCAACCTTGGGCACAGAAAAAGGACAAGGCTGGAACAATTTGCAAACGGGACAAGCAGAGATGGACAAGACCTGGAGATCACTTACACAGGTCTTCTGGACACAAGGTCTCAGAAGAAGCCAACAGACATGTACATGTGGCTTGAGACGATCCCAGAGAGAGATTTAATGAAATCAGCACTGCATCTGTGAGAAGCAGGTGCTGCTATCTCCATTTATCTGGGTAAAACCTGGGAGCCTGGCACGGGACAGCCCTGCCAGGTCTCTACTGCAGGAGAAACAATGGCCCTGCATGAGCCACAGCCCCATCAGAACAGGGGGATAAAGAGCAGAGCAAGCCAGAATCATGAGAGAAGTCACCCAGCAATCTGAAGGACTGGAGCAAAATTCTGGGATCTTTGTCTTTGACAGGTGACCTAAACAACACATCCACACCCAAATAATTTGGGTGTTTCCACTGAAAAGCCAGGGAATTCAGGGACACTGGGCACTCACCGATTCACCGTCTCCCAGTCCCCAGGCCTCTCTGGCTGCTGCTCCTGGCTGCATTCCCCTGGCTCTGGCTCTTCAAAACTGCTCAAAAGCAAGTTTCCCTCTTTTGTGACTGCTGTGATATCTTCCTGTATGACACAAAACATTTCTCATTCAGGTTACTTATTGTGAGGGAAGGATGAGGCATTTTGTGTTTCTCCTGCCTCAGTTTCCCTGTGTGAAAAGAAGCAGCAGCACCCAACAGACCAAAGGACTCCCAGCAGATGTTTCAGTCCTTGACATGGAATTAACCCCTGGGGCTGCACGAGGCTGAGCCATGGACGGGGCACCAGGCTGGGTGGAAACTGCCACACATGAGTGCACCAGGCCACAGAATGGTTCAGGAGCCAGCACTGCCCCTGGTGTGGGACATCTGCCCACAGGTTCATGTCTTCAAGCAAGATTTTCACGGCTGGAAGGCCAGAGACCCACGTTCCTCCTGTGATTCAAAGCCATCCATTGTCCATAAAGCAAAGTGGCCTGGCTGTCAGACAGGTGGCAACTTGACTTTTTCTGTTCAGTATATCAACGGGGTTAAGCTACTCTGTTTAATTAATTTCTGTCATTTTTTCATATTGCTTGATGCCAGTTTCTGCTCAGCATCACAGCTACCTAAATTATTGTGATTTACTCAATATCTGAATTCAAGAATCAGCTGCACCAGCCTGGGGTTGTCATGAGAGAGACAAGGACCCCCATGTCTTGCTGTCACCACAATCTGTGCACAGCTTCTCATCTGCTTTTGTGTTTCATGGTCTTAGAAGGAACAAGAGAAAAAAGCCAACAGACCTCACTTCAGACAAAAGCCAACGAGTGGTTTTGATATCTGAAATTAATAGATGAGGAATTAAAAGCAACAGATGGCTTGTACTGAGTGCTGCTGTGCTTTCCACGCAAAGGAAAACACTGATGAGTTTCCTTTCTGCACAGAGACAAGTGGGCACTGCTGACTGGTTTAGACACTGCTGACCCACACTGTGGGCTGGTATTGCCCCTGCACTGGGGCCACATCCTGAGCACAAAGCTGAACTCACTGAGCCACGGTGCAAGAGATGGAGCTGCTATTTCATATTACTCTCTTCATTTTCAAAGAGATGGAGGCCCATTGACAGTATCTACAGTGATTCTTTCTAAACATGCACACATGTATTTATGCCTACACACAGCACAACTTGGATGACATTTTCAGTATTTCTTAGAGGCAGCTTTCTGGGAACTCGCTGACACACGAATGACAAATGATTATCAATTAAAATAGATACAATTCTTTGACTTAGGTAAATAAAACCTGTCACAAAGCAGAGGAGCTCATTCTTCAGCCCCACAGAACAACTATGAACACAGTGATTGCTTCTGAAGGGAGGGTTTGGGGCCTGTGCTGCTCCTGGAAGGTGCAGGAGCACCGAAGACAACAGGCTGATGAAGCAGCAGCTGGCTGCACTGAACCTTCCACTGGCTGCTATGATAATATTAATCACAATCACAGAGTTGAAAAAATAAATTTAAATATTCAAGAAACAAACGTTGCTTAAGACAAAACCTGAAGGCTGCCATGAAGCCAGGGATCACATGGTGGATGCTCTGCACCCTGTGCTCACACAGGAATCTTCACCTTGGATGCTCTCCAGCACAGCTCCCCTAAGTGCCCCCAGGGAAGATCCACCAGGCAGAGGGACCCGGGGACAAACCACCCCTCCAGACCTGCTGATGACCTCTGCCTGCAGCTTTCTGCAGCCGAGGGGGTGAGGCAGAGGGGCTCCCAGCTGGGGACAGGAACAGGCAGGTGACAGAGCTGCTGGCACAGCCTGCTGGCAGCCAGAGGTGCCATCCCACGGGAGGAGGCAGCTCAGAGCTGCAGGGTGCAGGCAGCTCAGGACTGCTGGGTGCTGGCAGGGTGACCTGGCAGCTCAGAGCTGCTGGGTGCAGGCAGGGTGACCTGCTCACTGCATGGCACAGGTGAGGACACAGAACAGCCAGGCTGTGCTCTGCCTCATCTGACAGCACACACACGGGAGGGAGGGAGCATGCAGGGGGCACCAACCAAACAGGGAACACCAAGCAAAGAGTGGGCACCAAGCAAAGAGGGGAACCAACCACACGGGACACCAACCAAAGAGTGGGCACCAACCAAACAGGGGCACCAACCAAACAGGGGACACCAACCAAACAGGGGACACCAACCAAACAGGGGACACCAACCTGTTATGATGATATTTTATGAAAAATCCTTTGTTAGGATTTTTCCTTTTTGGGAAGTTGAGGAGTTTTAAGAGAGAAATGTAAACCATAACTATCTGCTGCTGTGGAATGCAACAGGTACATCTGTGATTGGTGCATGTTGGTTGTTTCTAATTAATAGCCAATCACAGATGCAGCTGCATCGGACTCTGAGAGTCACAAGTCTTTGTTATTCATTCTTTTCTTGTTCTTTCTAACCTTCTGATGAATCTTTTCTCTCTATTCTTTAAGTATAGTTTTAATATGGTATTTTAATATAATATATATCATAATATAATAAACCAGCCTTCTAAAACATAAAGTTGAGATTCGCATCTCCACACATAAGACACCAAACACAACACCAACCAAACAGGAGCACCCACCAAAGAGTGGGCACCAACCAAACATGGGACACCAACCAAAAAGGGAACACCACCCACACAGGAACACCAACCACACAGGGACACCACCCAAAGAGTGGGCACCAACCAAACAAGGGACACCGACCAAACAGGGGACACTGACCAAACAGGGGACACTGACCAAACAGGGGACACCAACCACACAGGGGACACCACCCACACAGGGGCATCAACCAAAAAGTGAGCACGAACCAAACAGGAGACACTAATCAAACAGGGACTCCACCCAAACAGGGGCACCAACCACACAGGGACACCACCCAAAGAGTGGACACCAACTAAAGAGTGGGCACCAAGCAAACAAGGGACACCGACCAAACAGGGGGCACCAACCACACGGTGGACACCACACAAAGAGTGGACACCAACCACACAGGGGACACCAACTAAAGAGTGGGCACCAACCAAACAAGGGACACCGACCAAACAGGGGGCACCAACCACACGGTGGACACCACACAAAGAGTGGACACCAACCACACAGGGGACACCACCCACACAAGGGACACCACCCACACAGAGGGACACCACCCAAAGAGTGGACAGCAACCAAAGAGTGGACCCCACCACACAGAGGACACCACCCAAAGAGTGGACACCAACCACACAGAGGACACCACCCAAAGAGTGGACACCAACCAAAGAGTGGACACCACCCCACAGGGGCACCACCCCACAGGGGACACCACCCCACAGGGGACACCACCACCACACAGGGGACACCACCCCACAGGGGACACCACCCCACAGGGGCACCACCCCACAGGGGACACCACCACCACACAGGGGACACCACCCCACAGGGGACACCACCCCACAGGGGACACCACCCCACAGGGGACACCACCACACAGGGGACACCACCCCACAGGGGCAGCGGCGCCCAGCAGCGCAGGGCCGTGGCACAGCGCCCTGCTGGCCGTACCTTGAGCTGGCAGTACCTCTCGGTGCGCAGGGCCAGCAGGCGCTCGATGGAGCGCATGTCCTCGGGCAGCTCGGCCTCCGCCAGCTCCGTGCCGAAGCACTGCAGCATCTGGGCAATCTCCTTCACGGTCAGGGCAAAGCTCTCGATGGCCTGCAGGGACACGGGGACTGCGTCGGCCCGCAGCTCCTCGAGGGCTGGGCTGTGCCAGGGGAGCCCGACAGCTCTGAGAGAGCTGGGTGGGATGTCCAGGCAGAACATCCCACCGGGAATCCAACCTGCCATTCACCTGGGACCAACATCCCCGGGAAAACTGAGCGTTCAGCAAGGCACAGCTCCTGACTCCTGGCAGGATGAAAGTGCTTGCAAAGGGGAAGAGACAAACCTGACTGGAAATTTTCTGAATTCTCTGCATTTGGTCAGTGTGCAGTAGGCAGTCTCACTACCACGCTTCCCAAGCACAGTTCTGATATTAATCATATTAAGCAACCATTATTAACAAAAAAGCCTATTTGGTATCTCCCATTAAGGGAATTCTAATAAAGATTTAAAAAGACAGATCTTTTGGGAGCAGTTCCAATAGGAGCCTGAGGGAGCCAATCATCCTGCAAAGCCACCAAAGCCCAGCACCCCTTGTCTCCTTTGCAGGCGTGATCTGGGAGGTGCAGTGGCTCCGGGGGCTCCTTCCAGCCCCCAGGGCTCGGTGCCTGAGTGCCAACCTTCCCCAGGGAGCCCCAGCTGGCCGTGGCAGCCCCACTCACCGTCCTGAAGATGACCCACTCGCTGTGGCAGTACTCCAGCGTGCCCCCCAGCTCGGGGGTCAGCTGCTGCTCCTCGATGTACGTCAGCAGGTCACTGACCGAGCTCAGCATCACCACCTGCACACACACACACACACACAGCCCGTGTCAGCTGGGAGCACCCCCAGCCCACTGATGCACCCCAAACCCCAGTGTGCTCCCAGCCTGTCCTGGAGCATGGCTTCCTTCTTGCACTTATGGCTTAGAACAGCTTTTATCTGGGTTTCTGACCACGGTGAGCCAGCCCTCATCTCCAGGTGCTTTCTTTCCGAAATGCAAGGCACAGGGAGATGCTGCAGAACAGGGCTGAATGCAAAGTGATGCAGGTTTAAGCAAGGCACGAGCAGTAAACTGGAAAGAACACATACATTTTAATAAGTTATGAATTATAACTTACCAATTTCACATAAATGTGTACTCATGATTTATTTTTTGTGTGTGGGATATGTGAGGAATGTTCAAAATTGTGCAAAGAACAGCCATTTTAGAGTGAAAAACGTAAAGTCTGTGAAAATCATGCTATTTCCTAAAGGAAAGCATTAATTTGTTCTCTGTGTTTGTAACAGCATCAGCCTTAGATTCTAGAAATGTACTTTTCTTCTCTTAATTATTCTCATTATGTCCTATAATCAAGGTGGTTTACAAGTCTGGAAATCCAGAGTTGAGAATGTAAACTCATTTCAGTTGCTATTTTAGGAACAACCACCAGCAGGATGCTGGTATGGAGTCTACACTTAGATGAATATGGGAAAATCCACAGCAAAAGCTCCACTAGACATGTCTTATGACTTTTCAGACATGAAACAAATTCCTGGCCACTCTTCACATAGAATGCTTTGGGTTGGAAGGATCATGAAGTTTCCAGCCCCACTCCCATGGGCAGGGACACTTCCACTGTCCCAGGCTGCTCCAAGCCCTGCCCAACCTGGCCTTGGCAACTCCAGGGATGGGGCAGCCCCAGCTGCTCTGGGCACCCTGTGCCAGGGCCTGCCCACCCTCACAGGGAAGAATTTATTCCTAATATCTACCCCAACCTGGCCTTGGCAACTCCAGGGATGGGGCAGCCCCAGCTGCTCTGGGCACCCTGTGCCAGGGCCTGCCCACCCTCACAGGGTGGAATTTTTTCCTAATATCTAATCTGTATCTACCCTTTCCAGTGGGAGCCATTCCCTGTGTCCTGTCCCTCCATGCCTTGTCCCCAGTCCCTGTGCAGCTCTCCTGGAGCCCCTTCAGGCCCTGGCAGGGCTCTGAGCTCTCCCTGGAGCTTCTCCGCTCCACGTGAGCACCCCCAGCTCTGCCAGCCTGGCTCCAGAGGGGCTGAGCTCCCCCAGCCTCCTCTGGAGGTGCTGCAGAGGATGCATGTGACACCAGCAGAGTGGGGCAGTGTCCCCTGTCCTGCTGTGCCCAGCAGGCTCTGAGCACACACAGCAGTGCCAGCTCTGTCCCAGCTCTGAGCACACACAGCTCTGTCCCAGCTCTGAGCACACACAGCAGTGCACAGGCAGCTCTGTACCGGTAACTTGAGCAGGAAATCCTCCTGGCTGAAGCGAAAGCCGATGTCGGTGAAGGTGCGCTGGAAAAACCCCGTGGGCCGCAGAACCATCACCAGGTGCAGGTTCCCTGGGAAGGAGGCCTGCAAGGAAACACAGACAGCATTCACCTGGCCGCTTCCAGTGCACTGAAAACAGGGGGAATCATTCTGCTTTTGGGGGTTTTTCTTATTTTCAGAGCAGGAGGGAGATGCTGGGAGTGGTGCAGAGGTGTGGGATGTGACTGCAGCCGTGCTCCTCGGAGGCACACTTGTTATAAACTTTAATAATACAGATACTGTTCATCACTACAACTTGGGGAGTGAGATTATAACTTAGCAGGGAACAGAGGGCTGGAACATTGAGAGGAATGACAGATTGAGGAAGCAAAATTTATTGCCAAACTTGCTAATCATCCCATAACTGCATGAAGCACACTCGTCTTGTCCTTGGTAATTACCAGGCAACATTTAATTTGTGGCAAGAATTTGGAATTTCCTGTCTACACTGCTGGAGCCTTTTTTCAAGCATATGGGTGGCAGGTGCATTTTTAAATAGATCTGTGAAAAGGGTTCTTGAGAATGAAAAAGAATTTTTAAGAAAGTAGAAGTTGCTTCATTAAATTATGGATAAGCGCATGATGCAAAGACTTGAGTTAATTAAGACATGATTTGCTCTGAGATCCTGCCAGGCCAGGTCACATTTCTCTCCTCCTTATATCATCCTCCTCCATGAAACACGATAGTAACCTCTGTACCAAGGGTGAGAATAATGAACACGTTTGGGTACTTTGCCCTGCAGGGCACTTCACTGTGCCTTCCAAACAAAATCACCCCCACAAACGTGCACTGGTGCTCTTTCAACAGGCTGATTCACACCTGAAGTCTGCCATCCCTGAGCTGCACTGCCACTCATTTGCTCTGTTTTCTTGGGTAGGAAGGGGGGCAGGTTGTGGCTTCCACTGCCCACAGCTTCCCTTAGAAATGGACAGTGACTTTTAGGATCATACAAGCCACATAAATCCAATATATTGATCTGCTGTTATTTTAAGTACAAGCAGGAAAAAAAAAAAAAAGGATTGTGAATGAAATGACAAACTCATACCCTTTGGAAGTCAACAAGAGTGGTGCCAGGGACAAGGACTTGGCACTGGAAACAACAGCAAACCATTGAATAACAGAGCCATTGGTGCTGGCTGCAGGCCCTGGGTGCTGTGCTCCAGCAGTGGCCAGCACATAATGAGAGTTCCTCTGGGAACTCTAGGCTCCTGCCTTGACCCTCTCCTGAAAAATGCAGCAGGAATGTCTCTGAGAACAACCAGCCAGAAGTTCATCCTCCTTGGCCTGACATCATTACTCCCCTTCATCCCCTGTCCCCTCCAGCCCTGCTGGCACTTGGAGCTTTGGCCTTTGTCCTTCAGGCCCTTTTTAACAGGCACCTCCCTGGGGGAAGAGCCTGGGTGTCCAAACCCAATTCCCCAGGGGAAAACCTGCAGGCTTTGAATGCCAGCCCCTAGGAGCCCCTGGGCAGGGGAGGAAAGCTGCAGGAAGGGGCAGCAGCAGGCAGGAGACAAGCCCAGCTGCCAGGGACCACTGGGAGCTGCCTGGCTGAGGGCAGGTACCACAGTCACATTTTTTGGAAAAATCCCTTTGCCCAGGATTCTTCTCCTGGGAAGCTGAGAAGCCTCAGAGAAAAAAGAAAACAATATTATCTCATTTGCTTCTCCTGTGTTTTGCTGCTTTGGAATGTGTTTGGAGATTGTTTATCCAACAGGTGATTGTTTCATTGGTTTCATGTGAATTATTTTGACTTAATAGCCAATCAAGGTCAAGCTGTGTCGAGGCTCTGAAGAGAGTCACGAGTTTTTCATTTTAAAAATATATTTTTTGTATTCTTCATTATATTCTTTAATATAATATAAGTCATAAAATAATAAATTAGCCTTCTGAAAACATGGAGTCAGATTCATCATCCCTTCCTTCATCTGGGAACCCCACAAATACAACAGGCAGGGATGCCAACATGATCCACACCACACACACCAGGGGAGCACAGCACTGCCTCCTGCACCCCAGGCACAGCCATACACACACCACTGTACCCCTCCTGCTCCTTGGTATTTCACCTCAAAAGAGCTGAGTTTCCAGGGCAGATGATTGGATTTCCACTCAGTTTAGAAAGCATCTGGGGATTTTTTAGCTGATCTTACACATACAGGATCGAGGTCAGCACTTACAAGTAGCTACAAAGCAGGAAACACAGCTTTGCAAATGACACCTAATGTATTCCAAGCATGGGAAAAAATGAGCAAGACAAGAAATAAGCTTGTAGAAAGACAGACACCAACAAGCCATGTCCTGTGCCCTCTTAGACACTTAAGGGAAAGGATGAAATGTTAAAAAAAACTTACATAGACCAGTAATTCCTCAACATAACATTCCTGTAGGGATTATATATTTTTTAATTATTGTAACAATTTCAGTTTTTCTCAGGGCTGAAGTGTAGATAAGTTTCCTGAAAACTGAACTCTAATGATACTGAAGGCACTGCTGCAAAAAACCATTTCCCACAACATATTACAGAAAGCACAGACAAAAGGATCCTTAATCTTGCCTTGTGCTTTATCTCACCATTTGTAAGACTGAAAAGAATCCTGTGCACTTGATAAACCTTGGGGTTATGTAACAAAACACCTAAAGAGCCCTCTAAAGCCTCTGCCCTCTGCAGGACACCAGGAAAGGCAGAAAACTCCCAGCACAGTTCCATAAATCAGGCAGCTGGCAACACCTCAGCCACTGCTGCTCACTGTCCCACTGACCACAGCCCTGCTCAACACCCTCCCCTTCCCAGGACACACACGGCACCTCAAGGCCAGGTCAGCAGCTTTTGAAATGCACATTTAACTATGACCACACACAGAGCCCTGACTTAATCAATACAGACGAACTGGGCTAACAAAGCACAAGAAAGGACATGCACTGAAAGCACCCCGGTTACTGCCTCATTACTGAGTATCTCATTCTGACACAGTTAGTGTGACTTTAACATTTCCACCAATTTTAGGAACTCTGTTTTCAGACACTATTCTTCCCTGCAGTTCACCGGGGCATCCATGAGGTTGGAAATCAAAAAATTAAAAAATCAAATAAATTGTAAAACAAAGTATATCTGCCAGTAAGTTTCTTTCTGAGCACTGCAGACTGAGGCCAGGAGTCCTTACACAGGTGCTGAACTGAATGACTTTCTGCTGCCCCTTAAAGGGAAACCATGCACAAAATCTGAGCCTTGAACTTCCCCCGGAGCCAGAACCAAACTCCCCAGTGCTCTGCTACCTTTACTTCGGCCGGCTGCATAATCAACCTAATTAACCACAATTAACCAAAGACGCTGTCAGCATGGCGGGGTCGGGTCGGTGCAGGGCCCCCTCCGTGCCGCGGCTTTCCTTCCCGCGGGAGCGATGGCACAGCCGCTGCTGTGGGCACGGGAGCGGCACGGCGGGCAGCGCGGGGGCACCGGGGCACCAGTGGTACCGGGGTACCAGTGATACCGGGGTACCCGCTGATACCCAGGGTACCCAGTGATACAGGGGGTACCCAGTGATACCCGGGGCACCAGTGATACCAGGGTACCCGCTGATACCGGGGTACCCAGTGATACAGGGGGTACCAGTGATACCCGGGGCACCAGTGATACCGGGGGTACCCAGTGATACCGGGGGTACCCAGTGATACCCAGGGCACCCAGTGATACAGGGGGCACCAGTGATACCGGGGTACCCGCTGATACCGGGGTACCCAGTGATACCGGGGGACCCAGTGATACCAGGGTACCCGCTGATACCGGGGTACCCAGTGATACAGGGGGTACCAGTGATACCCGGGGCACCAGTGATACCGGGGTACCCAGTGATACCCGGGGTACCCAGTGATACCCGGGGTACCAGTGATACCAGTGATACCGGGGTACCCAGTGATACCCGGGGCACCCAGTGATACCGGGGCACCCAGTGATACCGGGGGTACCCAGTGATACCGGGGGTACCCAGTGATACCCAGGGTACCCAGTGATACCCAGCAGTACCGGGGTACCTGCTGATACCCACTGACACCCGGTGATACCAGGTGACACCCACCAGTACCATCAACACCCAGTGATACCTGGGGTACCCAGTGGCACCCGGTGATACCCACTGATACCCGGCGATACCCAGCAGTACCACCAACACCCAGTGATTCCCAGTGACACCCAGCAACAGCCAGCGGCACCCAACAGTACCGGCGATACCCAGCGGTACCAGCGGCACCCGGCGGTACCAGCGATACCCGGCGGTACCCAGCAGTACCAGCGGTACCCGGCGGTACCAGCGGCACCCGGCGATACCCAGCAGTACCAGCGGTGCCCAGCGGTACCAGCGCCCGGCCGCTCCCGCACGGAGGATGCCCTGAATCCCCCCGCGCCGCCGGACCCGAGCGCTGCGGGCCGCGCTGCCGCCGCCGCCGCCTCCCCCGGGCCCGTCCCGGTTTCCGCAGCACGGCGGGCCCGGAGCCTTACCGCATCCCGGGCGGGCCGCCCGCCCCGCCGCGGGCCCGCCTCCGCCATGGCCCGGGGCTGCGGGGATGCTGCGGGGATGCAGGGATGCCGCGGGGATGCAGGGATGCAGGGATGCGGGGATGCTGCGGGGATGCTGCGGAGCGCGCTGCCCGGCTCTCCCCGCTGCCCGGGGCCGGCACGCAGCTCTTCGCTTCGGTTCGGTTCGGGCAGGCAGCAGCCCTGCCGGCTCCCGGCTCCCGGCTGGCAGCCCCGCTCTCCTCCCAGCGCCGGCTTTGCTTTTAAGGTGGAATGCCCAAAATCATCCTGCAGACGCTCTTTCCTGCGAGGATGGGGCTCCCGGCTCGGAGCTCTCGCCCTTCCCTTTCCCCCCGCCGGGATCTCCAAGGTGCCTTTGCAGGCTCTTCGGGGTTCTGGGGGGGAACCAAGCAAAGATGCTGCGGCCAAAACCCGAGGCTTGCCCCGGCATCACTTCCCACAGCACTGCCAGCCTGGCTTGCCCAGGCAATTAGAGGCATACATAAAGAGTTAAAACAAAAATCTGTACAGTGTGATAGAAAAATTTTCAAGATCAGATGCACAACCGCAGAGCTGCAATTGCATATACATATGCTGGAAAAAATAGGACACAGTCTGTGTTTTAAATTCAGCTTCATGGCACTCCTTTACTCCAAAATTGCACAAAGATCAGAAAAAGATTTTTTTTTTTTTTAATTGCACCAGGGTTTATGATGCGTGACTGGGAAAAAAAAATCAAGATCTAAATTTTTGTCCTTACACCTTCTGGACACAGAGACAGCCATTTAGGACCTGACTGTTTTTAAGACAGTATTCCCAAGTCTTAAGCCTCAGTGGACACAGTTTCCTGCATCCCCCCTTGCACAGAGCACCTCCCATTCTTTGCATGGACAGCCCTGATACTGCAGGCAAAGTCACCTCTCCACGTGGACACACAGCACTAACAGGGTGTATGCTCAAATAATTAAACTTTCTTATTAAACACAAAATGAATGCCACTTTTGTAGAAGCTACAAATTAGGACAGGATTTTTTCCCGTTTGACACTTCCAGACTATGCAAAGCAAGTGCATCATCCTTAAAGGATGCTCTTGGTATTAGCACCTGTTCAAACGCTGGCAGCAGAACTGAATCTTGATGATCACTTTAAAGAACCACTTTCTAAATGCTGCTTCTTCTCTAGTGGTATGGTAACCACACCTGCAAGTTCAGTTTCTAACATTCAGAAAAATCAGAACCAAAAATACTCTTGGTGGGATCTCGTTCACCCTGCAAGAAGGGAACCCTCTGTGCCTCCCAAGGGATGCTGACCAGCAAACTGCCAGGTATTTTTAACACCAAGTTCAGCTGCAGCAGCATTAACCATTTAAAACACTGTAAATCTGACTTTATCAGAACCAGGTGGGAATTTTCTGTCTCAGTACAAATCCTCCACTTCACCCTTCCTCAGAGGGACTGATGTCTTTAACCACTCCATGACTGAGCAGAAACAAGCACAGTAATCCACCCAGAGTACTTCCACTGACCTACCCCATGGCCCGGTGTGCCAAGAAAGGATTTCTCTGGGAGCTCCTACCTCCCCCTGCACCCAAAAATGTGACTTTTCTTCAGCTGCATGCTCTGCTGAGAACCCAGGCCCTGGTTCCCACTGAAAGTAGAATTGCACAACCCCTGTGAGCAGAGTTCAGAGCAGTGCTGTCATGCATGTGTGCACCAGATCATTTAAAGCACATTAATGCATCCATACACTTTGAAATGGATTTTTCCATCCATGCCCGCACACAAATCCTTGTGAAGCCTGTTTAAAGAACCTAGAACTTTCAGTCACCAACAATTAGGTAAAATAAATTAATAACCAGTGTCAAGAAAGAACATATATGGAGCAAAATTTTCCACCCATCAAAAGCATAGAACATGGCACAAAACACATTTGAACCAGTGCAAAAGAGTATAAAACCCAGGAAATGGATCAAGCAAGCAAATTAACACACAAACAGCTCATTTAGCAGTCAAATTAATTACAGGGCCATAAAGCAAACTGCTGCCTAGAGAGGCAGCAGGAGCATCATTGCTCTGGTCCCCAGTGCTTTCTGAAGGAGACACACAAAGGCAGGGTGACTTGGTGCACTGGAAGCAATCAGCATTAAAGAGGACTTACTGCTATTTTTTGGAGAGTCGTTTTGACTGATGTCCATGTGTCCAGTCTTCTATCCAGGATTAGGATAAATTTAGTGTCAGACTCATGCTGACTGCAAGATAAGAAAACACCAACAACCAGATAACATTCCAAGAAAAGTGACTGTTCCCAAAAGAACCCCAAATCCAAGAACCTGGAATGCAAACCACATTTCAGTATTTCTACAGTTCCTGAAATTCCCTTTGGAAAAATCTTCCTGAACACCCAAACTCTTTCCAGAGGTGCTTAGCAACAGGACAAGGGGCAACAGGCACAAACTGAAGCACAGGGAATTCCATGTGAACATGAGGAAAAATGTCTTTGTCCTGAGGGTGACAGCGCCCTGGGACATGCTGCCAAGACAGATTGTGAAATCTCCTTCTCTGGATATTTCAAAAACCCACCTGGGGCTTTTCATATCTCCAGATATTCCAGCACAACCTGCTGCAGGTGAAGCTGCTCTGCCTGGGGGTAGGACTGGATGATCTTCAAGATCCCTTCCCAGCCAGGCCATTCTCTGACCTCCACAGCTCCCCTCCCAGCCCAAGTCCCGGTGATCCTCACTGTGCACCGCCCGTGACTCGTGTGTGCCGTGGTGACAGCAGAGTGCTGGAGAGCAGATTGCTCTGGAAACACAAAGGGGCCTTGAGGAGGAGCTGTGCCCTGGCCAGCAGGCTCCCCCACGACCCCCCTGCCTTCCCTGCTCAGGCTAGAGCAGCCAGGCAGTGACTCCTGGCTTGTTCTGGCAGGAGGCAGCAGAGGTGGCACAACAGGGCAGGAGGCAGCAGAGGTGACACCAAGGCAGGACAGCAGGCAGTTCCCCCACGACCCCCCTGCCTTCCCTGCTCAGGCTAGAGCAGCCAGGGCAGAGACAGCAGAGGTGACACCAAAGAAGGGCAGGAGGGAGTAGAGGTGACACCAAGGAAGAGCAGGAGGCAGCAGAGGTGACACCAATAGGGTAGGAGACAGCAGAGGTGGCACCAAGGCAGGGCAGAGGCAGCAGAGGTGGCACCAATAGGGCAGGAGGCAGCAGAGGTGACACCAAGGCAGGGCAGAGACACCAGAGGTGACAGCAGGGCAGAGGCAGCAGAGGTGGCACCAAGGCAGGACAGCAGGCAGCAGAGGTGGCACCAAGGCAGGGCAGGGCAGTGCCAGCCTGGCAGAGGGGACAGGGAGCTGTGCTGGCTCCCCCAGCCCGCCTGCCGGGAGGCAGCCACTGCTCCAAGGCGTGCTCCAGCACAGCCCAGCTGACTCCAAGCACAGGCTCCTGACATCCTTTTTAGCCTGCCGGGAGGCAGCCACTGCTCCAAGGCGTGCTCCAGCACAGCCCGGCTGACTCCAAGCACAGGCTCCCGACATCCCTTTTAACACCCAAATCCTCTGAGGTGCTTTGAAACGGCCAGCCTGGCCCAGCTGTACCAGCTGCACTGGTGCTGCCCTGTCTGCAGGTCACACATTCCCTGCAGGAGCCCAGCTCAGCTGCAGCGTTTGCACAGCTGTGACCAGCTCCTCCAGGAGTGCATTTACAGGACTCTCATTTTTGATTTTGCAGTATTTACCCTGTGCATGCTGACACAGGATAGCCATGCCCACAGCACCCTGTCCCGTGCTGGGACAGGCTCCCAGGACACGTGCTGCCTCCCCAGAGGGCTCAGGTGTGTGCCCTGGGCACAGCCCTGTGCCAGCCCTCTGGCCAGCAGCATCTCTGCTGATTCCTGTGCTTGGCAAGGCAAACACAATACTTGGCAACTCACTAGAGAAAAGAAAAACCAGACACTCAAAGTGCAGGAGCTTTCACTCAGTGCACACCTCGCTGCTGTGCTCTGTGGCAGCCACAACTCTGACAAACACACGTAACAGGAATTAGCAGTGCTGCTCAGAGGGATGAAGACTACAATTCCCCCTGACTCATAACAACAGCTGAAGGTATGGAGAGGCACCCAGCCATCGTGTGACACATCTTATGGATCTCTGACTTCACAGCCAAAGTGCAAAGGTTTCAGGTGAATTCATTCAGTGGCTTTGAAGTGCAGAAGAAACGAGCAGAGAAAGTGAACATTAAATTTTACATGTGGGTCACAGACAGAACACGTGTAATAAAGTCTGAGGCTGGGAGCACAGAGTCTGACTTTTCAGCCAAAACCTTTATTTGCTTAGGATGGTTTAGGCAAAGTGAGAAAACTCTGCAGGTTTCTGTTAGCTCTGTTCACCCCCACCATGAGCTAAGTCACCGAGGTGGGTGGGAGCAGGCCAAAGCATCCTTTGGTTTGAGGCAAAAATAAAACCCTTTGGTTTTTCAGCACACTCTAAAATTTTAAAAGTATGTCTCTGAGTTATAAAGAACAATTCCCAACTCCCCTGGTGTTTCCCAAGGGTCTGCAATTGAAAAAAAATAAACTGCTTTTACACAGAACTGCTGTAATCACAATAAAACCTGAAGACAGCCCCCAGAATCCAAGTAATTTAGAAAAGGCAGCCAGAATGTAGTGCAGTGCCAGTTAAGCAAAGCTGGAGTCATTAACTCAGGACAAGGTTATGCACAGAGAGCAGCCTCTGAGCATGCTAATGTACTTGTATCAGTTCCCTTACAGAAAGAAAGAGGAAAGTTCCCAGCAGTCTGACACCTTGACACCTACTGTGAGAAATTTGTCATTTATTCTAGGCCAGTGGAGAAAGTCTGTGACTATTTGCAAGCCAGGCCTTGCAGGTTTATCAGATTTCCAGGCCCGTGATGTACCTTTTAGACTGACAATAAAAATAAATCAATGCTTTCTACCAGGGCTCTGAGGGCTCTTTGTTTGCATCCAGCAGCAGGAAGATGGAGACAGATAACCAGGGCAAGGATTGCTTCTCTCCAGGAGTTTCTTGTCACTTTTTGATGCACCAGACTAAAAATAAAGACCTGGGATGTTTTGCAGGACTTGAAATTGGAGCCTGGAGTCTGCAGCTGTGAGAGTGAGCAGAGCACTGAGAGACTCCTTGCTGCTGGAGGGATCAGAGCACGCAGCCAGACCTGCCCAGCACTGAAACCCAGAGATATTTATAGCCAGCAGCACCCTGCCCTGTGCCACTGCTCTGTGCTCTCAGCTCTGAGCCACCCTGGACCCCACCTCCCAGCCTGAAGGAGACAGGCAAAGCTCATCTGAACAGCAGAAAGCTGGAGAGTCAAAGAGAGGACAGAACAGGGCAGAATGGGATGTGGTATTTCAGCAGGAGGGGACCCACAGGGACAACCTGTCCAGAGTCTGAGCATTTCAGGCTGACCAGAAGCTAGGAAATGTTGGTGAGGGCATTGTGCAAATGCCCCCTGAACACTGACAGCCTGGGGAACCTGCTCTGGTGTTTGACACCCCCTCAGCAATAAATGCTTCCTACAGTCTGCTCTAAGCCTGCCCTGACTGCTCTGAACCATCCCCACCCGTCCTGCCCCTGGGTGCCAGGGGAAAGAGCTCACACCTGCCATCCTCAGGAAGCTCAGGGAGCACTGGGATCCCCTGAGCCCCCTCTCTGCACACAGAGAGGCCTCAGCTCTCCTCACAGCACATCCTGCAAGCCCTCTCAGCAGAGCTGCTCCCTCTGCACAGTTCAAGGCCCTTCACATCATTTTAACCGTGGCACCCAGACCTGCACACAGCATTGAAGGTAATACCACACCAATGCCACACACAGAGGGATTTTTTTCAGTTTTCAACTTTTACTTTAATAGTAATTAAGTCGGTTTTTTGTAATAACATTCTTACAGATATCATAACTGACTTCCATCTATTTTCTTAAGCTTCTACTGGAATTCTGGCTTAACTTGGAAGAGATAAATTCTTTCAGGCTAGAGAAAAGATTTCTATTTGCTGTAAAGACCACACTGTCACAGCCCTCAATCCAAGCCTGGATAAAGTGCTGCTTTCTCACTCCTCGGGTCTCTTTTCTGCAAATACAGGATCAGTCACACTTCCCTGCTTCCAGCAGCCCACTGCAGGTGCTGCTCAGCACAGCCAGCCTGAAGGCAGGCAGCATTTTGAGCTGGATGTGCACAGAATAGGAAGTGGGCACCCATTACTTATTTTCCCTTCCAGCTCATCCACACAAGTACTTCCTGCAGCTGCCTCCTGCCTGCAGCAGTTCCCAGGAATACTAAAAATTCCCTTGCCTACAGACTCACTTTCCTCCTGGCCCTGCTACGAATGCACCCACCTTGAGGACTCAGGAGGAGATTTCAGCATCCATCTCCTTCATCTAACAATTACTTCCAGGAGAAGAATGCCTGATGAAATTCATCTTCCCAAAACACTACAGACCATCCAGCTTGCCCAAATGGCACAAGGCTGACAGCCACGAGGTTTCCTCAGGCTGGGACAGGCAGGACACCATGCAGCTCCTTTGCATGGTGCTGGTTTTGATCTGCCCCTGCACACCCACAGGTAAGCAGGTGCTGCACCCACACCTAACCCTGACACTTGAAGAAATGAAGTACCTCTGGCAGGTAAATATTTACCTCTTTTAGGGACTTTCTGGCCAAAGCCTGAGCTCCAACCCCACGATGTGCACACAGGGGCACCAGAGCTGGCACAGACCCTCCACCCTCAGCTGGGTGACCTGTGCCTGGTCCCCCGAGCCCTGCAGCTCCAAGGTGCCAGGGAGCACATGCTTCTGGGGTGGTCAGACACTGGGGCAGGCTGGTACGGTGGCAGGAGGAGCAGAGCAGGATGATTGAAGTGGTTTTACTAAAAAACACGCCGGACGTGTTTGAATCACCAGCAAGCTCGCAGCTCTCATTAGTTTCTTGATTGAGTTTGACCTATTACAGGGACAGCAGGACTGCTCATCATGCTAATGCCAGGGTGTTTACACTCAGGTGCAATGAGAAGCCTTGGAGAGGCCAGCCAGAGCTGGGGAGTGCAGAGGCACAGAGCAGGGCTGCCTGCACAGGGTGAACAGCCCTTGGCAGGGTCCTGCTCCTGCTGGGCCAGGAGCCCTTGAAACCTCAGAGTGCACCAAAAACGGGACAGAGGAACCACAGGCTCCTTTTTGGTTTTTTTTTTGAACAGAGGTGCCTAACCACTGCACATTTCTGCCAAAGCAGCTGCTAATGGAAAGCTCCCCTCTAGCTGCTGTCAGCCTGCTCTCCCTGCAGGAAGGAATTTGCCAAAACAGGCATTATTCAAGAAAATTAAGGATTCCAGGTAACTGAGTCACCAGGCTCAGCAGCAGGAATTAGGAGGGCCATTAATCTAAGCATCCAGCCCAGTGTGAGGCACAGGCACACTGTCAGCAGCTTAACCCTGACACCCAGGCAGGTAATGGGAGCTGCTGCTGTCTGCTGAGCCATCACCTGTCACGGGGACCCCGAAGGCTTTGTTCTGTAATTAGCCTCTTCCTCTGGTTTCATTTCCCTTTTTCCACAGCAATGACTCTCTATTTGTACACGTCAAAATATTATTTTGCAGTGGCATGGTATATTTAAGCAGTGACACACGCCAAAGCTTGAGGAAAGCTTGTTAATTAGAAACTAAACCAACTAAACGTGTGATACATTCCAGCTGACAGGCCACAGGGGTGATGTCCACTGCCTCCTCTGCAGCTCCTGGCACACAGAACACCTCACCTGGACGCTGTGAGGGCTTGCAGCCCTGGGGGGCTCTGGGAGCTGAAGGAGTGTTGCCATCATATTGCAGAAGTTCCACACTGTTGTCTCCTTACCACACAAGTTTCACACCTTCTTGGTGTTTCTCGTGGGCATCTCCTCAGAGCACGGACTCTTTCTCTGTCTCCTTACCACACAAGTTTCACACCTTCTTGGTGTTTCTCGTGGGCAGCTCCTCAGGGCACAGACTCTTTCTTCCTCACAAAGCAGCCAGCTGACTCCAGGTCCCTCTCAAGCTGCCAACCCACTCTATTAGAGGACTCTTCTTCTCACTGGTCACAGTTATGGCCTGTTAAAGCCAGGCCTGTTCCTAATCTTTGCTAATTGGCCCAGCTGCAGCTCCTTAGGGCTGAGATTACCTTCTGCACTATCTTTATTCTCTCATATTCCATCCCCCCCCAAAGGAGCCCCTCGCCCCCACTCGTGGCTGTGCCCTGCAGATCCCTGCCCAAGGCAGGCAGGACCCCCCTGCCCACCCCAGACACGAGCTGGGGGCAGCCCCCACCTTGGCACTGAGGTCAGGTAGGTCAGGACCCTGGCCACGCTCTCCTCGGGCACCTGGTTGAAGCCAGCGTTGTCGGGCAGGGTGATGATCCAAGCCTTGTCCTTCCCCCTTCCACCTGCAAAACACACAGGGATGCTGCCCTGCCCTGCTGCTGAGGAGGGCACCGGCAGCTCAGAGCACACGCTGCCACTGGCACAGGGGTTTTCACGTGCCCAGAAGAGTCAAACAAAGGCAAATCTGCCTCTGAGTCCAGCACAGCACACCAGGGCAGGAGCTGGAAACAAATGCGTTGAGAACCAGGCATGTCCTTCATTTACTGGGTGTGCTTTACACAGGACAGCAGAAGAAATCAGAAATACAAGGACAAACACTGGTCCGGAACCTCCAGAAATACATTTCACAGCAAACTGCTTGTTCATGCCTCGAGTGCTGGGAATATTTTACAGAATATTTTACAGTGTGGCACGGGACAGAAACCCAACCTGCTCTTTCAAACTGCCCCCATGTTTTATTAACAGCAGCTCTAGTGGCACTGGATACCTGGTGGGTAACAGCCCCTGTGAAGTATCACTCTGGCAAACAGCAAAGTTTGTCTGCAGTATTTAATTACCACAGGGAGAGAGAGAGACCCTGAAGATGCTCTCATACTCACCAGACAGAAAAGCAAACTCTTTCATCAGATCATCACTGATGTCCTTTGCACAGATGGGTACTGCAGTTTCTGGAGAAAGGGAAAAGCAGCAATCAAAATAAAGCACAAATCCAAAGCAGACACATTTATCAACGTGTTAATCCAAAGGTGGAACCTGAACTCCCCTGAGCTATACATGAAACTGCAATAAAGGACATGTGGATCTCAGAGATGTTATTTCTAATGTTTCTAATGAGCCCAACAGGGTGAAAGCCACAAGTCAGCAACAAAAGTATTCCACTAAATGCACCAAGGGAGCACTGCCCTCCCCTCAACGGGCCACAGCCAATGTAAATTTGTATATTTTGGAGTCAGCAATGCCACTCTCTGTTTCCCAAATTCTCCCAGTGCTCCCCAGCTGGCAATGCAATGGGCTGAGGGTTCTGCTGGGAACTGCAGCATCCAGGCTGCTGCACTGGGAGCAAGGCTGGGCTTTCAGGCTGTCACAGTCTTTAATTTTGAACAAATAAGCTTCTGAAGCCACGCTTTCACCTGGCACGGGGCCACAGGCATTGGAGAGGCTGTTGTTCTTATGTTCAGTTATTAGGTTTCTTCCTAATTAAATCATGGCAAGGCTGGCTCAATACCATATTTAGCACCATGATCATTTCAGAGGCAGTGAAGCACAGCAGAACAACACACAACTTTACCTTTCCCTGGGAGAAGGAAACAAAGACCACACTGACTAAACACAAGAGGAGCTTAAAGCTGGTAAACATTTTTTTGGATTATCTATAAATGGAATGACAGCTAAAAATCAAACATCCTTGTTCCTGCAAATAAACGTTTTGGAGCACATCTATACAGATTAAAGTCCTTGGGCTTTCTGATAATCAAATTGTAAACACTGATTATTTCACAGAGCTGGTCCTAGGGAATAATCTTCTGGCTGTTTCAAATCAGACAGGCTGCATGCTTCAGCACACTCCAGAATAATCAATATTTATTCTATTGCCCCTTTTTTTCAAAAGCTTTCTGGTCACTTCTACTTTATCTGCAGATTTTTCAGGCCTGCACTGGCTGCAGGGTGCTGCAGCACAGCAGCCCAGATGTGTGGGGGCTCTCTGCCCTTCCAGGCACACACTGCTGAGCTTCCCTCCTGTAGATAAAAATGGCATTTTTCTTTATTGAGGATGGAGCCCCAGTCCCACTGGCATCTACAGAAACATTCCTGATTTTAACAGGCCCTAGAATTGGTCTTGGTGAGAAAGAAGTTTGTCTTGCAAAGATATTTCAAATATTTGTCTCTCATTCAACTGCTTCACCCAACTTAAGGACATGCAGCAGCAAGAGATTTCTTCTCTATTTGTTGATTTCTTTTTTCACCAGGTCAGTGGTTTCCTACTGATAAAATTCACATTTAACACCTTAACGAGCTCCCACACATGAACCAGATGACACCAAACATGTGTGTGTCATTGAAAATAGGAGACAACAGCCCACGCTGTGACACGTGTCTGTCACAAACCAGCGTGGGGCTGCTGTCCCCAGGCAGGGTGAAACCTGGCCCCAGAGCTACCCTGCCAGCCCTGCCTTCCCCAAATTCAGCCCCAGCCCTGCTTTCCCCAAAATTCAGCCCCAGCCCTGGTTTCTCCCAAAATTCAGCCCCAGCCCTGCCTTCCTAAAAATGCAGCCCCAGCCCTGCTTTCCCCAAAATTCAGCCCCAGCCCTGGTTTCTCCCAAAATTCAGCCCCATCCCTGCTTTCCCCAAAATTCAGCTCCATCCCTGGTTTCCCCAAAGTTCAGCCCCAGCCAAGCCTGGCCACGTGCTGGAACTCCCCCGTGACTGGAAAGCTCAAAGGCACTTCAGCCCCAGGCTGGCAGCAAATGTGGATTTTGGCTGGGTTCTGCACTGGTGTGAGAGGGATGTGCCAGTTCATCGAGCCTGCAGAAAGGAAGTTTGCCTTTCAAACAAAACATCACTTAGTTTAAAAGTTTCACACGACACTGTCCCACTGAGAAGCGCCCAGCAAGGAGCAGGGAGGCAGGGGGAGGTGGTGCCCACCCTCTGGGACAATCCAACAGGACACAGGAGCAGGATGCTGCCCCTTGGCAAGGCCAGGGCACAACAACAGCCTGGCTCTGGTGAGATCAGGGCTGCTCCCCAGCCAGCTCAGCCCTGGCACTCCTCTGGGCTGGCCACTGAACTCACCCTCCTGGGCAAATATCAGGGAAATCAAGGGCTGGCACCGAACCCACGAGGGTGGCTGTGCCTCAGGCACTTCACTTGGCTGCTGCAACAAATCCTGAACAGAGCACAACCTTTGTCCTCGAATATTAACCTCTGCAGAAAGAGCAGTGAAAGGCAGGGAGGCACCAAAGACCCCCAGACAAGGCTTCAGCTGGTGTTCTGTGTCAAACTGGGGGTTTTCCTTCAGGGCCACTCTTGGGACAGCACAGAAAAGACCCCAGGGCTCTGCTCTACGAGCAGCACGGCCAGCCTGCCTCTCCTTGGCACAGCCTGCAGGAAGTCAGGCCTCCAGGAAAGTCCACTCATTTCTTCCCAAGCCAAAAAGAGCCTTTGTGATCACCAGCTGCCACAAAACCGAGCCCGGCTCCCCACACAGCACCAGAGCACTGCACAAACTGCTGTCCCCACACAGCTGGCATCACCCCCAGCTCTAGGGCCTGGCTAAAAACCAGCAGCATCTGGATGGGAATTGCCAGAACGGTGTGGTGTCGCTTTTATATGGCCCCAAAAAGGGCATTCATGAAGTGCTGCTGCAGTTATTGCATTTGGAGGCTCCTCTGCAGGGGAGATTGTTGCCATGGCGCAGAGTTGTGGAGGCTGCAAGAAGCCAAGCAGGGAAAAGACAAAGGGGGAACTCAGGGCTCTGCACCCCTGGGGAAAGCAGAGTGGCTCAGCACGGAGCCCTGCTGAGCCTGTCCTGCCCCCAGCCCTGTCTGCACCGTGCAGGACATCTCCCAGCCCTCAGCACCACGGCACAGAGCGGGCAGAGAGAACGATGCCCGGGGCTTGCGCCCACCCTTGGAGGAGACACGGGCAAGGAGGGCTGCAATGACACCCAGAGGGGGACAGCTCCTGTCCCAGCCCAAATCCCTCTGCTGACACCAGTTAGACCCCCAAGTGCTTTGCTCTCAGCAAACTCTTGTTTTCTTTGCTTTTCCAGACTTCAGAGGCCTGCAGCAGCGCAGGCAGCAGCTGTGGGACACACCTGCCAAGTGCCCCACACCAGACACTGACCAAACACTGCTGGCACCAAGGGCACTGCTGGCCCAACCCTGCTGGCACCAAGGGCACTGCTGACCCAACCCTGCTGGCACCAAGGGCACTGCTGACCCAACCCTGCGGGCACTAAGGGCAGTGCTGGCCCTGCTGGCACCAAGGGCACTGCTGACCCAACCCTGCTGGCACCAAGGGCAGTGCTAACCTGACCCTGCTGGTACCAAGGGCACTGCTGACCCAACCCTGCTGAACCAAGGGCACTGCTGACCCTGCTGAACCAAGGGGAGTGCTGACCCAACCCTGCTGAAACCAAGGGCACTGCTGGCCCTGCAGAACCAAGGGCACTGCTGGCCCTGCTGGTACCAAGGGCATTGCTGACCCAACCCTGATGGCACCAAGGGCAGTGCTAACCCAACCCTGCTGGTACCAAGGGCAGTGCTGGCCCTGCTGAACCAAGGGCACTGCTGGCCCTGCAGAACCAAGGGCACTGCTGGCCCTGCTGGTACCAAGGGCATTGCTGACCCAACCCTGATGGCACCAAGGGCAGTGCTAACCCGACCCTGCTGGCACCAAGGGCACTGCTGGCCCTGCTGAACCAGCTGCTGCAGGATGCTGCACTAGCCTGGGCACCTGGGAGAACCACGGAATTCCTTGGCATTCCAGGCGGTGTGGGCATTCCCCGTGCCAAGCCAGTGACACAAAGGACACATTAAAATATTTATGGCAGAAAGCTTCAACAGCTGTGGCTGCTGCAAGAGCCTTTGTCCCCAGAGCCCACGGGGACAGCTCACACCTCTCTGTGGCCAGGGGCTCAGCTGCACACCCTCAGCCTGCAGCCACCCGCTGCCTCCACAGCCACCCAAGCCAGCTCTCACCTCGAGGGAAAGGTTAGCAGGTAGGCTTAGAAATGCCTGTTTTTCTGGGAGATGTGATGTGTTGATCCTGAGGACGATGGCCCCCGCAAGGCCTGAAGTCCTGCACAAGGCATCAAAGTCTCACCAGGGTTAGTCCCTGCCTAGGAGTGATGGCTTGGTCACCTCGCCAGGTTCAAGGACTCCCTAAATTATCTTTTCTCAGACTGGGGGCGATTTTTAAGGAATGGCTCATTCTATTTTCAAGCTCCTTCTTTTCCTTCTCCCCAAGCACCTGCTCCAACACAGCGTAGGAAGCAGCAGCAGATGGTTCTCTCTTCTGACCCAGGGCTGTGCTTCTCCTGCGAGGCCTTCCAGGGCTTGTGTGCCTGAGTGCTTCAGTGCAGACACATCCCCACCACCAAACCTGGGGGTGTGCTCAGCTAGGAAACCACACAGCAAAAAAAGGAAAGCTCCTGAAAAACCGGAATGACCTTTTCGAAAGGCTTAGATTTAGACACGCTGAGGATAAGAGGAAAAAGGCAAAAAAAAAAAAAAGGTGCTGTGAAAGGAAAAGAAGACAAGGAATGGAAAATGTTAATTCAGGTTTGAGGTCCATCAGCCAGGCAGTGTGACTGACCCACGGGGCAGGGACCCCTCGGGAGCAGCCCAGTGCCCACCTTCCAGCAGAGCTGTGCTCAAACTGGGGGGGCACCAGCACACCCAGCTGGGCACTGGGCACGGGACTGGCTGCACAGCCCAGCTGCCAGCCCGGGGCAGCAGATCCCGCTGCCAGGCAGCCCTGCAGGGACAGCAGCAGCAGCCAGCACCCGTGTGGCACAGCTGCAGCCTCTGGTGACACCCCAAACCAGCACAGCCTCACTGCCAGCAGCACAAGGTGCAGCCAGACAAGGAGCCCAGCCGTGGAAATGCCATCCTGGGACACAGCTCTGGGAGCTGCAGCGAGCAGAGGGTCTCCAGAGCCCTGGCTGAGCCACGCTGCCAGCAAGGAGGAGGAGGAGGAGGGTGCTCAGGGGAGGTTAAAAGATGCCCTGTGCTGGAGACCATGGGGTTGTGGGGCTGGGGGTGGCAGGGAGGGAATCTCTTCCAATTTATATGTAGCAGCTGAGAAACTGGGGAAGCTTTGCTAAGAAAAGGTGAAGCAACAGCAAATTAAGCAGCAAGGAGGCTTAGTTGTCACCTCCTGCTATGCTGTGATGTTTTCATGTCCAATCAGAAAAACCCCCACTCTCGTATCACACCAAACTAAGCAAAAACTGGGAATGACAAAAGCCAGCTCCACCATACATGAATTCACGTCAATTGCAAGAAATTTAATAAAAGAGTCTCAACACCCACTCTTTTGGATTCAACCACCATGTGGGAGTTGAGAAAATCTAGTTTCTTGCATTTCTAACATATAGGAGCTTCAATGTACTTTAGTTTTCTCCTGTTTCCAGTTTCAGTCACTCTTCCCTCACCAAGGAGAGCAGCTCATGTGTTTGCACATCAGCAGCAGGGCACACTTGCCAGCTGTGCAGGCAAAGGCACATTCAGCATCTGCCACCAGTACACGTCCTCCCAGCCCAAACAGTCAGCCCATAAACCAGAGCCCATTCAGCACAAATGACTTCCAAAACCCAGTAAAAACATACAGACATCAGTAACTTTCCCATCATCATTCAGCACCATGCAAACACTGATTTTTTTAAAGGGAAATTCCAGCACAAAGTAACTCCTGGGAGATAATTCAGCAGTAAATCCTGGGGCCTCACTGGCTGCCTGGAGAAGCTGGAATGAAGTTCACTGAGAACACTGGAACAATTTCTTTCACAGCTGATATAGCCAGGAAACTCAACTGTGCAGCCAGGTTCCCCCAATGGCATCACCTGGAAACTCTACTGTAAAGCAAGGGAAAACAAACACAATATTTTTCCCAAACTGAAAGTGGAAATGGCCAATTCTGGCATCCCCCACTGAGCAAAAGCACATTTCCAAGCCCAGCTAACCTGCTCCTGCAGCAGGCCTGTGCAATGGGAAGTGAGATGGGGTACCTGTGTCACCCCCCAGCCCCTGGCAAACAGCCCAGGAGCAGCAGGATAACTGTGCTGGGCTGGGCCCCAGGGAACAGCTCTGCCCAGGACATCCTGACTCATCTCTGCCCTAAAAGCAAGCCCAGCATCGCCTGCGAGGAAAAAGGGATTCAGAAAACAAGGCAGCCCCACCCAGGCACTGCCAGCAGCACTCCCACTCTGCAGCTCCTCTGCCCACCCATTTTCCACTGGCCTCACATTTCCCAGCTGCCAGGTGAGCTGGGCGAGGCCGTGGCAGCAGAGCAGGCTGAGCAGGGCCCTGCTGGGCTCAGCACTTGTCCCCAGACAGCCACTGTCACAGCAACACGTGGCTGTCCCAGGGGCTTGTGGTGGTTTGTGGCTCCAGGACTGCCCTGCCAGCCCCACCTGCCAAAACCAAGGCTAACCAAGGCTAACCAAGGCTCCATGGCAGCACAACCAGGGGAATGTCCCAGCTCTAAACCCCCAGCCCTTGCACTCCGTGTCTCCAGGCATCCTCTCGCTCAGTGGCAAAAGAGAGAGCTTTGGGAAACTCTTTCTTCCCCTCAGCATGTTTTACACTTCAGTTGTTCCCTCCCACACAGCCCTGCTGTCACTTCACTTTGTCCTGGTACGTGAATGGTAACCATTAAACGGCTTGTAGCAAATGTGATGTAGGGAGAGGAAGCACATCCCACGTACTACTGCCTGCTCCCAGACTACTACTGCTCCGTGCCCAGCCAGAGGGGCTGGCTGGGGCAGGCACGGAGCTCCTGCAGGCTGCCGTGCTCTGAGGGAGCCCAAGCCACTCCAGAGATGGGAATGGCCACCTAAGGCTTGGGATTTTCACAGCCTTTTGTCTCAATCTAAGGCAGGTAGGGGTGGATCACCTTCTGCTAGAAACAACCACGTTTCCAGGACTGCCGTGTGCAGGGAAATGGTTAAAACATGGTCCCAGATCAGGCTGAATGCTCTGAAATCAGCAATTAGGGAAAAAAGCTCCTGATTTATTTTTAATCTCATGACCTGAAGAACCTTACTCAACATTGTCTCTTTCTCAACATTTTATTTTAAGAACCTGTGTGGATGCCAAATCATGGGTCCGGATCCTGCAGCTACAACCACACAAGTGTGCCTTTGTGGGGATATTTTGGCTCTGTGTGACCATTACACAAAGGTCATCTGCCCAAAGCTGGTTAGCAGAGAGGGCTCATGCTCAGAAGAAACCCACTGCCTGCTTTCACCTGGTCCCCAGTACACAGCTCACAGCAAACGTGCACCACCTGTGTCCCCATGCCCGTGTCACCAGCTGCTGCTCCAGCAGCGTGGGTGCTCCGTGCCAACAGCAGCACAAGGAGCATTTCACCACATCCATTCAAGCAGCATCCTTTGCTGAGTGACCGTGACCACCCCTGCCCAGTGTGTCTGCTCCATTGCAGGGTGCAGGGAAAGGAGCGGGGTCGGGTGGGCAGGCGGCCAGAGCAGGAGGGGCTGCTGGCAGCACCTCGGAAGGGCACGGGCACGGCGGCTCCTGGGCAGCAGGTGGCACGTTGGTACAGCCCCCACCTGTGACCTACCCCCGACAAACTCCTCCTGCACCCCCAGGTGTGCCTTGCAAAGATGTCGAGAAAGCTGGCGTTAGACAGGAAGCTTTTTTTGGGTCAGTGTGTCTCTTTGGTGCCCGGCACAGCTGCAAGCACTCTGCCAGCTGCACATGGATGAGGAGTGATGGCTCTGCCTGCTCCCACTCCTGACAGGCTGTGCATCCCCCAGCGAGGCTGGAGCCACCCGAGGGGCCCTTCCCTTCCTGCTTCAGGAAAGCCCTCACTGCAAAAATACCTGTAACTCCGCTCAGGAAAACAGGAAAATGATGAAAAAGTGAGGGCTCCACACAACTTCTGCGCAGATCACTGTCCATCAAAGGAAACAGCGCTGAGGCAGCCACGGCCTGAGATAAGGGATCGGATTGCATGTGCTTCTCACGGGCAGGGTGGGCAGCCACAGGAGCACAGTGCTGCACTCAGGCACAGCCCGGCGCTCCGAGTGCCTGGGGACACGGGACAGGGGACACGGGACACGGGAGGGTGCCGAGGTGTCTAACACAGGAGCACACCTCACACGCATCTCCTGCTGCCCTTCTTCCCTCCCGGGAACGGGCAGCCCCGGCCAGGGCTGAGCTACAACTCCCCAGGGATGGCAGCTTGCGGCCGGGAGCTCGTACCCAGCGAGTTCTGTAGCCGTGGCCGCGGGAAGGGCGCGGGGCTCGCACCGGCGAACATCCCCTGCCAGCGGCAGCGCCCGCCGCGCTCGTTCGGTGACACGCGGGGACAGGGCTCCTCCCGAGCACCGGGGCCGCTCGCACCCCCCGTGCCGTCCGTGCAGCGAATAACAGAACAGCAGCAAGAATCCTCGGCCGCCCGCCAGCGACCGCCACGCCGAGGGGCAGCGCGGCCCGAGCGCAGAACGCGCCCGCCGCGCTCGGCACCGGCACCGGCACCGGCTGCGGGAGGGACGGGGCACCCAGGGCCGGCTGCCCACGGCGCCGCTGCCCCGCGGCTGTCCGGGAACGCCGCTGTCCCCCCCGCCGCCCGGACACCTGCGAGCCCCGCCGGCCCGGCACTCACCGGCGGCGGCCTCCAGCAGCGCGGCGGCGCGGAGCAGGCGGTAGTAGCGCTCCATGTCCCCCCCGGTCCGGTACCTGCACCGTCCCGCCCGCCCCCGGCACCGCCCCGGTACCGGTGCCGCCACCGTCCCGCCGCCGCCGCCCCCGCCCGCGTGCATTTCTTTCCCTTTTTTTAGCTCCTTCCCCCGCTTTTTCCTTCCTGGTTTGTTTGTTTATTTGTTTGTTTTTTCCCCTCTTCCCCCTTTCCTCTTTTCCCCCCTTTTTTTCCTCTTTATTCCCGTTTCTTTTTCACCCTTTTTTCCTATTTCTTTAGTTTATTCCCTTCCTCCCCTTTCTCCTTCCTCTTCCCCTCTTATTCCCTTTTTCTTTTCCCCCTTCCCCCTTTTTTTCCATTCCCCTATTTTTCCTCTTTTGCCCCCCTCCTTAGTCTTTTTTTCCAGTATTTCCTTCTATTCCCTCTTTTGCTTTTTTCTTCCTTTCCCCCCCTTTTTCCTTCCTCTCCCTTTTCTCCTTTATTTCCTTTCCCTCCCCTCCTATTCCTTTTTTTCCCTTAATTTACCACTATCCCCAGTGCCCCCCAGCACACCACCCTGCAGCTGGATTTACTCCCTGCCTTAGTGCCTATAGCACTTCTGTAGGGAAAAAAAAAAAACCCCAAAAACAAACCCAAAACATTTCCATCCTCCGCAAGGCAGCATTCTAGCAAATTCCTTGAACGATTTATGAGAAGTACATGAAACCACACTGCAGCCAGGGCTGGCCAGAGCTCCCAGCACAGCACTGGGCTGCCCCATCACTCTCAGTTTTCCTGATGCTGAGGCTCAAACGATGCCAGCTCATCCTCGACAGGAGCCTGAGCTGCCCAGGAAGGCAGCATGGAGAAGGAGATGTTCCTGTTTTTCCAAAACAACCTTTTAATTATGCTCTTTACTATAATAGCAGCCTTTTTCCAACACTTCAGCAGTCGGGGCTATTAATTAAAGAGCCATGGTCTAACAGTGGTAATATAAAAAACCCAGCATCTTTTGGTAGGCCCTTCTTACCCCAATACAGAATTTTTCCAGGGAAAACAACCATTCAGTCAGGGCTCCTTGCTTGTGACACAGCAGGCTCTCACTACCAAACAGACTGGCTAGATGATTTTCTGTCTGGTCATAAAGCACTTCTTGTGTGACAGGGACAGTTCATGTGCAGTTACTCATGAAAAAATCACTCTGATACGCAAGGCTGCAAGTCAGGAAAGAGCCTTGCCCCGTTCCTGCTGTATTCCCACGGCAGGAACGCTGTTTGTCCCAACCTGCCCCGGCTCAGGGACCCACCCAAGTGCTCGAAGTCCCCGTTGTGCCCCAGCAGGGTGGCACTGCTGTGGCTGGGACTCACCCCGCTGAGTGCCACACTCCTGCTTGGCACAGGAGCTGGGGAATGGAGCCAGCCCGCAGGAGATGCAGCTGCCACCCCCAAGGCTCGCAATCAATGCATTTCTTGCTCTCTGAAGGGAAGGCCAAGCCATGCAGGCAGGACGTGGGTGAGGTCTCTGCAGCCCGGCGCTGGCAGGAATGCTGCACACCAGAGCCCTGCACAGCTGGGCTGGCAGCAGGCAGCCTCGGGCTAGCTCAGGCTGGGGGGCCGTGGCTGAGTCGCGGTTTGGAACCCTGCGTTCCACTACCAATGCCCAGCTACCCCAGCAAGGCATTCTGCATCGTCCAGCTGCCCACGTTTACACTGCCAGCAGCTCCTTGGCTCCTCCTGAGCCGGGTGTCACCCTCTGCCTGCCCAGGAGATGCTAAACTGAGAGCAGCAGCAAGGAGACAGGTTAAAAAGGAAACACTGACAGCCAGCAACGTGGCTGTTTCTTTTTCAGGGATCTCTCCTGTCCGGGCCCCTTAGCAATGTTCAGCACTCCGAGGGTGGCACATCCAAACTGGTGTGTGAGGGGCAAGAGCCCTTAAAAGCTGTGGAAAATCCTGACAGCACCTGTTTGCAGAGATTTATTTCATGTGGGTGCAATGCCTCATCCTTAAATCTAATCTTAGGGAGAAGGTGTAGGAAGAATTCCAACTAATTTCATTAATTCCAGATCAGGGGCTGAAAAAACCCACTCAAAATTATAAACCTCTTGAATTTGAAAAACAACCCAACTTTTTTTCTCCCTTTCCCAGATTAAGGCTAGAAGGCTGGGTTGAGACTAGAGCCATTATTTGGATTTGGAAATTACCCTCCAAAAATACCTGTTCAGTCAAGTGCTGAGAACTGGAAAAACAGAGCTGGCTAAACACAGGTTAGAGTCAAAGTGATGTCCGAGGGAATTGCTCACCTCTGGAGTAAGCAAACTACTAGTGCAGAAGAGTAATTGACCTCGGGCTGGTTTTTGTGAGCAGGGGTTTTAGGAGGATTTCCTGTGCAGACAGCAGCATCACCCTCACTCCAGGGCTACTGCCCAGGCTGGTCCAGGCTCAGCAGAACCTCCAGAGCCTGGCAGGAATCCTGACCCTACCAAAGCCAGCCACACCTGCACGGATTTAACGAAGAGGAGGATTTTATGCCTCCTACTTGAATGTGAGAAATAAAAGGGCTCCACTCTGCTCTCCCACTCTCGCTTTCTCCCTGCCTCAGTTGTTGTTGCAGCTCCTGCTTTTGGGAAGGAACACTCACAGGTGCACACACACACACCCTTTCTCCAGGCCACTGTGTATTTTCCAGCTCAGCAGGTTATCCAGACGTGTGAAAACTCAAAGCAAAGGCCAATGCCAGCAGCGAGAACGCTGTGGCTGCATGTCCTGCAACAGCTGCAGGGGGACAGCGAGGGACAGGGACACCATGACCCCTCTAAGAGCCCGCACACGCCAACAGCCTGACCTTAAAACTGCTGTCCTTGTTAAAAACCACCTCACAACACGACATTGCCCCTCCCTGCTGACCAGCAGGGCTGCATGGCTGTTTGAAATGTTAATTTTGGTGCTTTCTGCAGTAGCCGGTGACCTGCAGGCTTACATGCACAGCTTTGTCCTGCCAGCCCGGGCAGCCAGCTCGGGGTGAGAGCCTCTCCAGCCCTTCAGACCATTCTCACCATCTCTCCCTGCTGCTATCAAGATTCTCAATGCGTGGATCTGGTTTCCAATAGTACGAGCTGCTCGGGAAAGGTTAGTTTGTTTTAAATAGCTCAGCCATCTGTCCTGCGGTGCCTGACGGGAGCTGCAGGGATCGAAGCAGCCAAAACAGAATTTTTCAAACTGTCAGTTTCTCATTACAAACATTTCAGCTTGAAACAGACCCGTGTCCTTAAAAAGAAAGTTACGCCTATATATTTCTTGTGCATTACACAAACACTGCGAGTCGTGCTTCAGCAGTTTCCTCCTGTTGTTGGAATTTCATCAATGCAAATATTGGGCCTGAACCTCACCAGCACCAGGCACTTTGCAAACCTCATTTGTGTATTTCGAGGCTTTGAACTAAAAAATACTTCTTTATTACAGGCAGCCAAGGCACAGAACCAAGAACCAAAACAGAGCAGTAAGGAAAACACTTTGTGAATGGAAATCAGGCACATGGACCTACATTCTTCTCAGCCAGTTCCTAAATGTCAGCTGAAGCCTTGGGTTCACCTCTTCTAGAAAGTTAAATCAATTTATTCACTTAATTCACAGGATTCACTTTCATAATTAAACATTCATTTTGAGGGAAATTCTTTGAGAGCACACAGGCCAGCTGTGTGCAGCAGCTGATACCCACAACTGCTAATACACTGCTGCAAAAATAAAAATGTATGAGAAGCAAGCAGGGTTTCCTTAGGCAAATGCTGCTGCACACCAGGCAACCAAGCATGGCCTTGCTGGCACCTACCCCACCATGAAAATGCTGATTTTTTTCCCCTAGTACTGCCCTGGAAAAGCCCACACAATCAATTATCCCCTAGGAGTATCCAAGGAGATGAGAGAGACAACAAGTATATATTAATCAGAACAACATACCAAAGTTTATTGATTACTTCAAACAAAAGTTTCTGTAATGAAAAAAGAGCAAGTTGCATTCATAAAAGGTAACATTCACATTCAATTTCCTTGATATAAAGCAACATAAATGTATAAAATTGCATTTAATTGAAAAAAATGTAAGGTTGCAGTCCTTTTTCTTTGCAAGAAGCTGAAAATGTATCTGCTCATTGCCTGTATATAATTTACATTTTCTATACACTACATGGTTTTTTTAAAAAATTCATAGCTGGGAAATTGGATAAATGGTGCAGTATTAGGAAAGTTTTTCAACTGTGTGTATACAAATTCAATTTGAAGCTTTTATGCAATTCCAAGTCATTTATAATATTCTCATAACGATTAGGATTAGTTTTTGAAAAGTCGCTATGACTACACCAAGCTCCACTGTTATCACATGAGAGTTTTAGAGGGAATCTTAATTACTGTCCTTATCTTTCAGTGTCACTAGTCAGTGATAAAACTTCAACAAATTATTATGAGAAAACCCAGCCTTTTTTCCTTCAAGTCTCTCCACCAAGAAGCCTGTACTGGCCTTTCACTGTCCCTGAAGGGCACCGTGAGTGTGGTGGCATCAGGGAACGAGCACCCACCACAGCATCCCTGTGCCACTGCTGCCACGCCAGTCCTGCTGCCTCTCACCCTACAGCCCTGAGCAGCACTTCTCCTGCCCCTCTCTAACCTCAGAAGGGCTCTCCTGTTTCCCTGATTTCACAAGTCACCCACAGCAATCAGAATTCTGGTTTTGCCATTGCTGAGAGGCGAGGATCAGCTCTTCTGCAGGACCTGGCTGTCCTGGCACCCAGCACTACACCAGTGCACGATCTGAAAACCCAAGCCCAAGAAAAACTGCATTTTCTCCAAAAGAGCTGTATTCAAGACATTCCACATGAATTGCACCTGTCAGCACGCACACCTTGGGTTTGAACATACAGCTATTGCAAGGGCTTGTTCCAGCTGGAGACAGGACACTTGGAAATGCCAAGAGAAAGATTTGGTTCTCAGAAGGCTCTGTCTTGAGACAGGCAGCAGAAATGATCCTGCTTACGTGACTATTTGAGCAGTTCA